GTACGATTTCGACTTAGCAGAAATTCGTTAGTTGCTGATAGCTACTTTTACCTAAATGACATCCTGTTACATCTGCATGTGATAAGGGGTCATAAACCATATGCACCCAGCCGACGGACTTGTCTTCACACCATCTGTTATAACCCTTGGGAAACTTTAACCCGACCATCTGGTAGATGTAATTGCTTATTTAGGCTATTATTTCTGTAAACTGATAATAAACCATTTTTATATAGATTAGACAAAGTAAATATTCTTGTAAGCCGAAATCATGTATATAAACCCGGATCCATGATCAATAATATCAGTACGAACAGAAATCTTGACTTAATCACTTCTCCGCAGACCAACTTGTTCTGTACATATTGCCGAAACTTTCGCCACTGGTTTTGTAAATATTTTATAAAATATTTTCAGCAAACAGATTTCGGTAGAAATTCTACAATTATAAAAAACAAAATCATAAAATAACTCATAGTTTACATCAAACAAGAAAGGAAGCAAACTTTGGCAATCCGAAGTTTTTATACCCTTGCAGTTGTAACAAATCTACTGCGTTTCGATTTATATTCCTATATTACTAAAAACAATGAAGCTATGTCGATTTTGCTCTGCATTTTGCCATCGATCCTATGGCAGCTATATGATATTGTTGTCCGATTTTAATTTAATTAAAACCGTAATTCCATAATATTTAAATATTGCCAAATCCCAAAGAACAAAAAAAAAATTAAAAATAACGTTTTAATTTTTTTTGAATTCTTTTTTCCAATAGTTCCTATGGAAGCTATATGATATAGTCGCCCGATCCGACTCGTTTCAAATTATAGACTACCTGCAATAGAAAGACCACTTGGGAAAGTTTCATGCAGATAGCTTTAAAACTGAGGGACTAGTTTGCTTAGAAACGGACGCACGGGCAGACGGACATGGCTAGATCGACACTCCTGGTGATACTGAAGAATATATATACTTGTAGGGTCGGAAATTTCTCCTTCACTGCGTTGCAACTTTTGACTGAAATTATAATACCCTCTGCAAGGGTATAAAAAGTTTAAGTACACTTAAGATGAAATTAATTAATTAATATTTGGTTGAACCTCCTTTTGGACCAACAGTGTGGTGTACTTTTCTTAAATTGTTTCCCACTCAGACTTGACGATATTTGGTGTTTTCGGATCCTTTTATCTAACAAATTCCAAACGTGCTCAATGGGATTGAGATCTGGAGATTATGTAAGGTATATGCAATTCCTTGCAGTTGTAGAGAACCAAATTCCTTGACCAAATAGGAAGTGTGTTTGGGGTCGTTATTCTCTTGAAACAGAAATGTAGTTTCATTTAACTGGAGCTGGGTGGCTCTGTCCTTGAGGTTATCCTTTAAAATTTTGAGGTACAGATGCTTGACCATTGCCGTGTTTATAAACACAAGTTTCCCAACTCCAGCTATCCCAACTCGCCCCCAGACCATCATGTTACCGCCGCCATGCTTAACGGTTGGTGTTCAATTTTTAAGCTCTAACTCTGTATTTGGTTTCCTCCACACTTTTTGTCGCGGAACGGTTTAACCCAATTATCGATTGTCGGGCAATTCAAATGTAGCGCCACAAATTAGAGATTATATTTAGTTCAATGTAACCGGTTGAGGATTCTCGCTGTTTAGTGAATGCGGTCACACAGCTTGAAGTTAGGAAAAGCTAAGCTTCCCGCTTCCAAGTTATTCCAATCAACGAGGTCAGAGAAGCTGGGAGGCGAGACTGCGGTAAAGTTAACTTATATGTGTCGAGTTAAATCATAAACTTGTAATATTCCTACAGAATAAAATCCGTCTGTTCAATACCATTTTACGCTACAAGATCTGTCTATTTCTTGTTTCGGTGCGTTTGAGCGGCGTCACTTTTAAATAAGTACACTTTTACAAAAAGTACATTTTAATAAGCAGAATCAGTGCAAATCGTATGATAAGATTGAAGAAAGGATGCATAGAACCCGTTTTTACCGTTCGGAACCTTTTGTTTTATTTTAAAGTTGCAAAATGTAAGCCACACTGGAAATCGAATGGATCATATGAAAGTATTATGTAAACTAGGGATGTCGGAAATATATCAAAATATCAATATATCGATATTTTTCCTCTTAAAAATAATATTATCATCGCGATATTTTTTGGGCAAAAAAAGGCGATATTGATATTTTTTGAGAGGATATTTCCGATATTTTATGTTTGGTCACTCTTAAAGCCTAGTACTCAAATCGACAAACGAGTATGCTAGCGTAAAGCCTAGTACCATAGAGTAAGAAACTATATAGAGGTTTCATTTGCTCTGCCCGGGCCTCTGCCAAAGCTCTGCTGAGAGCCATGTTCGAAGCTAACTTCTTCTAACTTCGGTTTCTCACCACTTCTAACATGTGCGAAGCACAAGCAATAGTATGGGGAGTTTTCGCACCAATCCTTAGGAATAAGAGCGACCAGTGCAGCAATAAGAATTCACCATGGGCATGGAATGAAGCTCGATTCGAACAAATGAAAAACTCTCTTTTTTTCCGTTTTTCCCCTACGTGGCATCACTGGCAAAGTCACTCGAGAGCGCGGGCAGAGCAAATGAAACCTCTATATAGTTTCTTACTCTATGCTAGTACTCAGATCGACAAACGAGTACGCTAGCGCAAAAACTTTAATCTTTCCAGTGTGACCAGCATATCGAGAGTTCTTCAGAATTAAGCGTGCTACGGTCGTACTGTCAATCAGCTGAGTTTGTTGACAAGCAGTTGAAATTCAAATATCGTATTTGAGGGAAAGAGCCTTAAAATGATATTATCAACTACCTTGGCAAAACAATGCTACCGCTGTACAAAGAAATTAAAAAACAATACAATTTAAATTTAACAGATGTTTGTTTTAATTTACTGATAATTATTTGCTAATTTAAAGTTCATAGCTGCACTTTTATTGTGTTTTTTCGTAAATTTTTGATCTAAGAATTATTTGGCTCTGAGAAGAGGCACCCCAGATAGTATTAATGTTGTTTTGTCCTCACATTTAAACTCCTGCAATCGACTTTTGCGGGTTTTCTGTTTTTTCCCTCCATTGTTTAAAATTTTCAGTGAGAAGCGCACGCCAAAAGATTAAATTTTTTATTCTTTTCGCTACGGCTCACCCAAAGTTAATTTCCGCAGACTGGCAACGCTGTGCAATTTTCTGGTATTTTTTTCGTCGATCTGAGTACCGCCGTGAAAAAAGGTCCGACGAAAAGTGAACGACAGTTGTTTGCCTCTCGCTCTCTCTCATGACTGGCGTACGGGTTTCGTCGATCTGAATACTAGGCTTTAAGCCAGAAGTGCTCTCAGTGGAAGAACTGAATATTTTTTTTTCGCAATTTTTGCAATATTCTCCAACCTTTTAAAAAAGCTACTGATAATGTGAGCGGAGATTCTTAAGTGACCGTCAGCTTAGTGATTCCTATGATTTCTATGATTAATACAAAATTAAAAAAGCTTATATGGATACCGCTGAGGGCATTCAAACAAAAGATACCATTCTAAAAATATCAGAAAAGCGATTGAGTGGTTTGCTGGAGAGTTGCTTGAGAGTGTATAATATTTTTTTTTTTAAGATCAATGATGTCTATTCACTTTTTAAATAAAAAATAGTCTATTGTGTCTCTAATTGATCTTATTTGCAGTTCATGGTTGATTATACGTATTCTTAGGCCTATAAAAGACCCTACAGGAAGACTTTATTAAAATTTAGCTGAACATTAAAAAATATCAAAAATACTCGATATATCGATATTTTCTTACGATATTTTTTAATATCATCGAGTGATATTTTTTAAACAGGAAATATCATCAATACGATATTTTTTCAAAATCCAACAACCCTTTTATAAACCCTGAGATCTCCTCAATATTGATCGAAGTTAAAGATTAGAAGGACTTTGGTAAGGATATTCTCTCAACATCTGTATGATGCTGTCTACAAACGACTTGGTCCTAGAAAAAATAAATCGATTTGAAAAGTCAAATAACATAAGCCTTTCGCTTAGTGAAGGGATTATTATATCATAGAACGTGGAAAAGACCCAAAAGTCAATTGGCATACTAAGATATTTATTTCGCTACACTAAATGATTGTTTTTTAAACTTTTCAAAGTCAAACAACTTTTCCTTTAATTTAACGCACTAAAACAATTTTAGCTTTAAAATTGGGGTTAAGCTGAAAAGTGGCCAAATTGATAAAATTTTTATAATAATTTGGTTCATGAAAAATTTGTGAAATATTTTGGTTTTTTTTTTATTTTTAATTAATCATTTGTAAAAGCTAATGAAGTCACTTGTATATTTAACAGTTATTCAATTAAAAATATTGTTTTTTTTTTAATTTAGCATATTTGATATGCTTGCTGTGCTATAATTAAGTTTCTCATAGTAGGTTTGTATTCTATCATTGGTAATGAATCTATAGAGATTTCTGACAACGCTTTGCTGAGAGCCATGCAAAAAGCTAATTTCTGACATGTGTACAAGTTCAGACATGTGTACAAGTTCTGACATGTGCAAAGCAACAGCATAGAAAGGAGATTTCTCGCTTCAGCCGAGCAGAGCGATTGCATGTTCGATCTAACAAATGAAACTCTTTTTGTCGTTTTTACCTTACGGGCAAATTGACAGGGCAAATTACGCCTCCATACAGATTCTGATTCCTGAAGTTCTTATCATAAAATTTTGTATATTTACAATTGCTACTTTTCCGATTGACTTGTTAATAAGCGCAACTATAAGGACTTTAATGCTCAGAGTTTGGATTAACTCACTATAATGGCGTCACATCCGAAAATTTTCCCAAAAAGAGGTTCCAGGTTTATTATATTTTTTTTTTTAAGATATTTTTTCAGAGGGGAATACAAAGCTGCAATAAAAAGTTTAATTATTTAATAAACATTTATTTTACCGTCATGAGAAAACTCTATAGTTTCCGCCGTATCCATTTATAACTTTAAATTTTCTTTAGGTTGGCTTTATTTTACATATGTTATACACTTTTATATTGTGGCATATACTCTTAATGCATGAACCAGAATCTCTATTGAATAAGTCCATTTCGAAATCTATATATACTGTTAATGAACATTCTTTACCCACCAACTCTGCTTTTAATTAATTTTATTACAAATATTATATGTATGCTGTCTAGGCCAGCCACTTTACGGTTTCAGTTGGCTTAATCGTTTAATAGCGAGTTAAAAAAAGGATTAAGGCTTTTTACAGCAACGCCTATAGTTCAGAAATAAAAGAAAATAACATTAGTTATGAAACGTAGAAGTTTGTTTAAAAAATTTACCCTTGCCAGCTGACTGGTCCTTTGAATCACGCCACTTATAGAGCGATTCCTTTTGTATTACATAGGCATCATAAAGCTCGCCAATTAGTTCACTCAGCAAGCCTGAAATAGATCATTATAATATAATTAAGATGAAAATTAAACTTCGGCACGCCGAAGAACATGAACTCTTGCAGTTGTAGATAATGTGAATTGATTCAAACCCTTGCAGGCGGTCGGTATGAGAGAAAGTTGCAAACATTTTACAAAGCTTAATAAAACCTCTGCAAGGGCACACAAAAGCTCTGAATGTCATGTGCTTATATTTAGTCATACCTCTGGGATGCTCCAAGCCGTGCACCAAAAGTTGCATAGCATATAAGCATTCAAGTTGATGGTCTTCGTTAGAATCAATGTATCGTTGCAAAACTGGTATGCAAAACTTTTGGAAGGTTTCGGACTCAAGTTTATAACTATTTTCCTTGTAGAGAATTGAAAAATTACTCAACTTTTCGGTCAATCCCCTTATAAACAACTTATCGACCACCATTATATTTCCCTTGAAAAAAATAAAATGTTATGTTATTATAAAGCTTTAAATAAAAAGTTCGATTTTCTTACGTTACTATAATCAATAATGCTATCTGCCGTCGTTCCTTCTTTCAGCAAGTGCTCAATATGGTCTATCACATTTTTAACGTGCTTCTCTGGGGACTCTCGTTGCTCAATCTCTGGCGATTTTTGCTCGTTTTCCACATACTCTAGTCTCTGTAAAAAATTTGTATTTGAAAATTTTTATTTGAAAATTTCTATATTTTCTTTGCATATACAACGTGTCAAAAATTTCAAATAAATCGAAGCAAGGTAGAATTTAAAGTATACATGCGCGCACACTTTAGCAAGCCCCAGCTGTTCCAAAAATGAAATAATCTATTATTCGATCGTTTTTACTCTTCCGATTTTTATAAAAATAAAATCGAGATTTTGAAATTGTTAAGAATTACTTTTTTTTTGGAGTATAAAAAAACAACCAAGTTATAATTTATATTTTTATTCAAGCCACAGTGGTGGAAAAAATAATTGAAACGCGCTGGTAGCGTTCATTTCTTTAAAATGTTTAGTTACTTAAGCCTAGTACTCAGATCGACTAAAACTGTACGCCAGTCATGAGAGAGAGCGAGAGACGAACACTTTTCGTCAACGTTTTTTTCACCACGGTCCTTAGATCGAAGAAAAAAATACAGGAAAATTGCATAGCGTTGCGAGTCTGCGGAAATGAACTTTGGGAGAACCTTAGCGAAAAGATTAAAAAATTTAATCTTTTGGCGTGCGCTTCTCACTGAACATTTTAAAAAATGAAGGGAAAAAATCAAAAACCCACAAAAGTCGATTGCAGGAGTTCACATGTGAGGACAAAATAACATTACAACTATCAGGGGTGCCTCTTCAGAGCAAAATATTTCTTAGGTCAAAAATATACGAAAAAACACAATAAAAGTACAGCTATGAACTTTAAATTAGCAAATAATTATCAGTAAATTAAAAAAAACAACTGTTAAATTTAAATTATATTGTTTTTTAAAATCTTTGTACAGCGGCAGAATTGTCTTGCCAAGGTAGTTTATACTATATTTTAGAGGCTCTTTCCCGCAAATACGATATTTGAATTTTATCTGCTTGTCAACAAACCCAGCTGATTGACAGTACGACCGTAGCACGCTTAAATCTGAACTCTCAAAATTTTTGGTCACACTGGAAAGAATAAAGTTTTTACGCTAGCGTACTCGTTTGTCGATCTGAGTACTAGGCTTCAGGGAAAGAAATATTTTTTAAACATGTTTTAACGTGCATTTTTTAATAAAGAACAAAACAAATAAATAAAATATTTTTAGCAACAAACCAAGCGTCTAAATCTTCAGATTCTACTTTCCACTTTTTTTTCGTATTACATGTTTTCAGATGAATTTAAAGATACCAAACTATTTTTAAAGGACCCCCAAAAAATTTACATCTAACTTGGATCTGGGGTTTATCTGAACTTTCATTATCCTGCCTAAATTCCTACTTTAAATCCTATTTTTTTAATCTTATTGGGAGGGCAATAAACTCTTTAGTATATTAAGGTGGTCTCTGGACTTACATGTGTTCACATGTGAGGACACCCAGAACATAAGGCCAATTACCGAAACTTCAAACAAACTTGATACTCCTCTTAAATCTGTAGATCACATATTTGAGCCATTCCTACTGAAGTAAGTTTCTTTGGGCACCTAGTTAAAGTTTTACCAATAACTTCAAACTGGAAACTGTCTGATGCTGTCAATGTTTTTAGAGGACCTTTAATAAAAATAATAGGTCTGTTTTTTTTTTTTTAGTACAACCTTTTAGATGTCGGTTAAATTCTGCCTTCATTCTTTGTCGCCTTGGTCAACTTAACGGCAAAAACACATTTTTTTCTTAAAATTTCTTCTTAAAATTTTAAATGTTTAACTTTCTGTTTTTAGTGTTTTTTATTGAAATAAATATTTATTTAAGTAGCTGTTCAGGACACTCCTCCATGTATTTTTAATATAAAAATTATATTTGAAAAATTTTTTGATTTTATGGAAAATTTTCCTTAAATCATTTAAACTGAACTTTTATTTTCGAAATAATCGATTTCAAGCCGAAATTTTGGGGGTCACTTATAAAAATGCTGGACACTGCAAGTAAAGAAGCAACTCAAAAAGGGTCGCAAAATAAAGTATGGATATCAGTTCGCTATGTGCCGTTTCTTTTAGGCCAATAATTATTTTCAAATTTGGCCATTGAGCTTAATCTGCAAAAGAAAATATAGTTTCTCTTATTTTTTCCAACACTGTCCCTGTAATAGCAAGAAGATTTTTAGGAAGGGTTTATTCATATAGGTTTAAAACTGAGGGACTAGTTTTTGTATAATCGGACAGACCGCCATAACAGTATAAACACTTTAGTACAACGACCGGTGATGTATGTTTTACTAGGTTGCTAACTTTTATCTGAAATTGTAATACCATTTGCAAGGGTATACAAATTTAATATTTACGGTGAACTTCTTTAATGTTAAATTGTTTATTTTAATTGATAATAAGCAAACAAACCAAACAAAAAATTAAGATGAACCCATTACGATTACAAGACGGTAATAACTATGGGTTATTTCAAAAGATCATTGGGATTGCCGATTGACTTTGGCAGACTCAATAAATATTTATAAAATATTTGGTCAGAAATTTGACAGAAAAAACCTGTTTTAAGGACTTTAATTGATTTGCTGATTAAACTTGAATGTTCCAATTTTGTTATTGGATTTTAACACAAAGGGTAAGCCATAGTTGAAAATTAAATAAAATTACTTATGCTAAACAGAAAGTAAGCAAGTTATAATTTTGATATTGTTTCTCTGGTCGTTTAGACGGACATAGCTACATTAACTTGCTTAGTGTTGCAACGCTGAAAACAGAGTTCTCTAATAACTGCGTTGCTCTACTTTGGAGTCTTTTTCTTAAAACAAAACTCATACTGCGGTATAAGATTTAAAATCGAAAACATACATAAGTTATTAAATTATAAAAAAATACCCTTAAAATATTTAAAACTTATCTTTATAACTCACATTTGATTTAATAAAGTCAGGGACTTCATTTTCAGGCATAAAATCTGACCATTTTAGGTTGAACTTGGTCCACATACTTCGAGCAAAATTCGGTCCAACTTCTTGTGTACAATATATCAAATATGTTTTAAGGAACTTTTTAGCCACGTGTGATGGGCTGCTGTCTTTCATATTTTTGTTCCACAAATCTGATACAGTCAAGATTTTCTTCACAATTAATGGCCCTGTAAGAAAAACAGTTTTAAATATATATTATAAATATTTTACTAAGGAAGTAGTTTAAAAAGGGTACTGATACGTTATGTTGGTAAACCCAATCATTGACAATTACCGGCAAATTGAAGAATATATAGCCAAAGCTCTGGAATATCAACAATTAAATCGTTTGCGTACTCGGTAAATTCGTTGTACGCCAGTCTGAAGTGATCCACAGAGATGTAATTCTGTTGAATAAGTTGGGAAACAGCAATGGCCAAATACCGCCTGTACTGTTTGCCGACATTCGCTAAATGCAAATAGTCTGTTAATATGTAATATATGAAACTACAGCGCAGTTCCTCTGGTACTCGTTTCATACACGAAACTACAGCGGGCGTTACTGCTTTCGAGGCTGCCGAAAGCTCAATCATTTCTGAGACAACAGACATGATGAGCTTAAGATCTGTTTCACTGGCCTCATTGAACACTGCCACCGGAGCTATAGAACGAACACCCTGCGGGAACGTTGTAGATGAAGATGCAGACGACGGTGGATCGCTGCCACGGTAAAGACCTCCGGTGCTGGAGCTGACCAGCGATGACTGTGCCTAAAAGAAAGCAATGATAATTTAAATAACTTTCATGCAACAACAAACAAAAATATATAATGTTTTCAATTATTCGTCTAATTAAATTAAAGCAAAAATGGTAATTTTAACAAATAAAGTAAATTAACCTTGTGTGCAAAAATGTAAATTTTCGTTTAGAACGTTTTAAAGAACCCTCACCGTTGCAATATGCAAGAAACAGGGACCGATGATTGGCTTTGAGCTTAGGGAAAAAACTTCTCAACGCAGATCAGAGTTAAAAATAGAGCCCTTTGGCAAGGATATTCACCAAAGATGCTGAAACAAATTTTACAATTTTTAGAAACAGCGTTGTGTACTTCTTATCATAATAAGTGTTACAAGGTGTTACATAGGCGGATAAACGATTGACTTGTCACCTGCCGTAACTGTGTAAGGCGCTAGAAGTGCGACTATTCTCTCCCCGCGACGGCGACTAGAAACAGATTCCGTTATAGACAAGACGCTGACGTAGATGTTGGGGGATAAGACAACTCCCTTAAGAAAAACTGCTACATTGGTGGCACGGCACATGCCGAACGCAGCATGTTGGAGGGGGTGCTCGGACGCTGTTATTCCGACTCTGTTTGACCACTCGACCTTTCAGTTTTAATTATTTATTTCCGGTGGTCTGCTTACCGTGGTGGCGTCCGGAAGTGGTACCAAATCTGGCGCAGTAGAGAGACGGCCACAAGGCGTGATAAGAGAGGGGCCTTATGCGGTCGGATCCGTCAGCGGAAACTTTCAACGACTTAATTCTGGAGCAGATGGGCGGTATAATTCAAAAGAATGAAAGGCGTTGCGTCACTTGTGAGGTGTATGACCATTTCATGGAGGAATTCTCAGATCAGAAGGGCCACAACATTTATGCGAATATGCTGGGTGGTATAAAGGCAAAGTCAAAATAGTGGCATGCCAAGAAGTCAGCTGAGTGAATTCTACAGAAGAATGGTCGGGTTCAAAAGTCCATTCGAACTGGTCCAGAAAGACAGATTGCCAACATTGATTATAAGGATATTTTTTTTCGACTTCGGAAACTTTTTTCACCATTTTAATATTGTAAAAAGTACACAAACAGTTGAACTCAATTGCGGGCCAAAATCGTACCCTACTTAAAACAATTTCTCAAAACACAAGGGATATTTCGTTCTGATAAATTATCAATTCCACATGGAAAAGAATTATTTGATGTTTGCTGTTTTATAGCCCAATCCCACTCGCACATATTTTCACAATCTTCCCATCAAAAATGTGCAAAATAAATGTGTAATTCGCCTCGAACGCTTGTAGTATATTTATACTGATGCTTAAGGCACTTCACAGACATGTCTAAATCTACTTGCATGGAGTTGCTGATCAAGAATATAAATACCTATAGGGTCGAAAATCGACTTGTCACATCGTAAATACACTTAACATTTTTTTTAATATACATAATACACATCTTAATCATTTTATAATTAATACTCACTTTTCCAGTATGACGTGCTGGTGCCTGTTGCGTGTATTTTGAATGACTAGCAGATTTTTGAACTGTAGAACTTAACAAACTGCGACTCTGACTTTGCTGGCCACCGCGGGAGGATGAGTTTTCTCGTGATCCTTGTGATGACCCAGTTCTCGAATGAAGACCTTTTTGGACAGTTTTTGTATTACTATTTTTTGAATGGTTTAACAAATCTCAAAGAAATACCTCTATCATAACGATCGCGTTCCATAGATCCTTTGTTATACGAGCCCTTGTTTCTGGGCCCACTGCGATCTCGATCGCGATCCCTATCAGTGCTGTTTTTATCTATTAGGGATGATAGTACAGCAAAGGGATTGGATGGTGTTGATGTGGGAGCAGATGATTGTCTTGTGCTGCTATTCCAAAGAAATTGCGTTAGTCCGCCCATCTTTTTTGTTTCTAAGTTTTGGTCAGAAAGTTTAGACTGAAATATTAAAAATTAATTATATGTTAAATACCAATTTTATTAAATAAGTAACTTTGAACTATCTCCGGCAAACCAAAGTATAAAAACACTTGAATTTATAACACTACATATTGTCATCAAGAGCAAGTTTTCGCTTTTTCATGCTGTTCTGAGCTTAAAATTAAATTTTTAAAACCGATTGAACAGGAGAGATTTAGGTACAAAAATAACAGTAAGAAGTCCTTTCAATTTACTTATCATTTCTATGCCCGGATTAAAATAAAATCATCATAATTTCATAATTTTTGATATGCAGAACTATAACTATTTCTAGAACAAAAAAAACAACTTAAATAGGTAAATAGTTCTTACCAGGCCCTCCAGTTTATTACTGTCAACTGCTTGGGAACGGCTACCTTTGCTTGTTTGCACATGCCAAGTATTGTCATCATTGTTTCCATTGGAGTGACCAGCTCCGCCAGAGCCCCTACCTTCGCCAGAATTGTTTTGCTGCTGGTGTCGCAGATTTCCGTTGTCACCACGTTGACTGTGACTCCCGCCATACCCGCTACCAGAACGAGATTCGCCGTATCGAGCATTGCCACGATCATCTCGTTTACCAGAGCCGCCCTGTGATCCAACGGGCGTAGTACTGGAAAGTGTACCAAAATACTGCGCAGAAAGCTGCTCGTTCTTTGCCTCTTTTTCAATTTGCCCCATGGTTTTGGGTGCTTCATTTCGCGAAGTTTGCCATTTGTTTTTGCGCAAATCTATAACATCTTGAAGCATAAAACGCACTCTGGAGCTTACTTTGGCACCATCTTTGTCAGTTTTTGAAGCGATTGCCTGCATTCTGGCTATCGATTTTTCCAATGAATAACACCGACTAGGGTCCTTTGAATTAACTGGGGTCTGTTCAAATTTGGCACCCACCGTTGTCAGCAGCTTACATAGGCATTCAAGCATGTCTTCAGAATGGGGATTAAGAAGAGTATCAATGCAAGAATAAATGATTTTACCGGTCAACATGGATATTTTAAAAAGTTCCCCGATAAATCGAACTGTGCCTCCGGAGCGTCTTCGTATTTTTCTTTCCTCCTCTTCTAAGAATGCCTCAAGTTCGGCTTTTTCGTTTGCATCGCTACATTTCTTTATTTTATCCACAATTGGCTGCAATTTTTTTTCTTTTGCCGTGCTTTGGGAGACGTTCTGTGTGAACTCCCGTTCTGTTTTATCTAACAAAGCATTTCGAAAGTGTGCCAAATTAGATTTGGTGCCGATTTCCATACGCTCGTCTCGCGCCTTTACTTCTGAAATAAGACGATGGCATAGTCTGGCATATGATACTGAAAAGTTTGGCTCATCAATTGCTTTTTCAAATACCAGCACAATAACTTCGTCCATTTTGTCGGGTGTATCAATTTTTAATTTTACAATCTCCTCGACAAGCGTATCGAACCTTTCAGGAGTAAGCTTGTTTAAAATACCCCGAACCCGACGAACCAATTCATCCTTTTCTTGCGTTGATTTTGTGTCACTGTCAACGTCTGATTTGTTCAAGGCTCGTGGGCGCCAGGCATTTTCATTCTCACTGAGTTTTACATCTTGATTTAAGGACAGATTAACGTGGATCATGCCTTTCATGCTGCTTCTGCCACCCCCACCCTGAACACCTGACATTGACATCTGCTTGTTAATATAATTTCCTCCGGATTCACTGTTACGATTGCCAATCATACCAACCATCGATTGAACGCGCTTATTATTATTGTTGTTGCGGATAAATGATGGCATTAAGTTCGGTTGAGGAAGAATGGATACATTTTTCACTTCTGGCTGAATTCGCGAGGCCTTTACCTCCCGTAATTGTAACAACTGATCTCGATTGTATTGTTTCTTTCCACTTGGATTGCTTGGAGACCATTGACCCTCATTATAGTTGATACAAGATGATCCAGCATTTCCTGTTTCTTCAATTTTTATATCAGTAGATTTGGCGTTTTCCTCAAGGTCCGTCTCTGGCTTTAGGTCTAAATTTAAATCGGACTGGCGATCTACATCTACTTCTGTGTTATTCGATGAAAGCAAGTCTTTTGTTGGCTCCCTAGTAGGGGCCTTTTCTAAAACGTCAACATGATCTTTAGCATTTATAGTGCTTGCTGCTTCGGTTTGACCATTGTCCAAACAAGTCTCGTCTTTTAATGCCATCGGTGATAAATTTGTGTCATTAGGGACACTTCTTAATGTTATTTCTGGTTGAGTTGCTTGCTGTTCGCTTTGGTTATCGTTAAAACTCTCATCTGTAGATTTCACTATTATTTCGGTAGACAATGTGTGTTCAGAATCTTGTAAACTTGTGTGCATGTAGGAGGAATCCGCACTGACTTCAGCGGGCGGTATTTCGTCAATACCAGCGATTTCAGACTCGGCAGAAACATTTGATGTCGGTTGACTGTTCTTCACAGTGACAGCCAGCAACTCTGTTGAAAGGTCTCCCGGGAACCCACCAGAATCTAATTCAGCAGTATTAGTTTCTTCTGATGCAGTTGGCACTTCCTTTGTAATCTCAGTATTTGATGTCGTTTGCTTCTGTTGCGTTGATTCGGATGAGAGTAATTTTTGATGCGTCAGATTTGTCTGCAATGATTCCTTAGTAGTTGCGGCAACAGGTTTTGATACTGCATCATCCGTTTCATCTATAAGTATCCAAATTAAAAAAAAAATGATTCATATGTTTGTTTACCATTCAAAAACAATGCGACTTTTTGAGTCTTAAATATTAATCTTAAATAAAAAGCTTGGAGATAAATATAATAATATATAATGACATGAAATACCAGTTACTTTTTTATTCTATTTTAATAGGATTATGCACCCAAGACAGGGCGCCACCTGCAATTGGGGTTTATTTATCTACTAGAGCTAAATTTAATTTCCTGAAAGCTTCGATTTGGAATAATTTATTATCGAATAATTATATACCGTCTTGTTCCTACAGAATTTCACAAATTTTGTCAAAAATATTGCGCTGCTTATAAATATCCAGTTCATATAGTTTTCAAGATCTCCATTCCCCATATATTCTTTTACTCTACTATAGGTTTAACAAGAAAGGAAAGCTAACTTTAAGCTATACCCTTGCAGAATATTCTGTAAATAATATTCTCCAAAATTATTCATATGATGCATTCTTAATACTCATAAAAATCCCAACTTCCTAACTTTACAAACATCAAAGTTATGGCATTTCCGATCAACCAGTTATATGGCAGCTATGGGATATGACAGACAAACGGACAGACGGACATGCTTATATCAACTCAGGACGCGATCCTGACAGTAAATATAAACTTAATAAGGTCGGGCACGTCTCCTTCACTGCGTTGCACACTTTTGACCAGAATTATAATACCCTCTGCAAGGAAATAAAAATAGGTTTTTCAATTACTAGATATCCGTTTCACTTTCTAAAAATTCGATTTTTTTTACAATAAAAAAAAATATATTCATTTAATTAGAATTTGGTTCTGAGAGTTTTAGAGTAAATTTGTACACCGTTGCAGAGGGTATTATAATTTCAGTCAAAAATTTGCAATGCAGTGAAAGAGACAGGAGAGTCGATCTAGCCATGTCCGTACGTCAGCTTTTACGAAAACTAGTCTTTTAGTTTTTAAGCTATCTGCTTAAAACCAAAAGTTGTTTTTCTATTGCAGGTAGCATATAAGTCGGAACGAGCCGAATCGGGCGACTATATCATGTAGCTCCCATAGAAATAATCGGAAATCGGATCGGTTGTCCAAAAATAAAACCCATAAAAATCCCAACTTCCTAACTTTAAAAACACCAAAGTTATGGCATTTCCAATCGTTTAGTTGTATGGCAGCTATAGGATATAGTCGGCCGATCCTTATGAAATTTGGTAGGTCGGATTGATTGGCCAAAAATTAAACCCATAGAAAATCCCAATTTCCTTACTTTAAAAACGCCTTTCTTACTTCTTTTATTTTGCGTACAATAAAATAATTTGTTTGTTATTTAGCAATAAAACTTAAACGGGAATAAAATGGGCAGCCCCGGCATTTTTCGGAAACAGCCTACTTTATTTTTACAGCAACACACGCCACTTTGAAATTTCACTACCGAAAAACTATTTATGAATTAAATTTCCCTAACCAGCAATTTTATATGTTTTAATTAATTTAAAGCTTTAAATGAACTATAAAAATACTTATTTACTAATATATTCTTTATTTTAAATATATAATTAATAATATTCACATTTCTTAGACGTCTTGTCAGAATTAAATAATGTAATCAAATAATCACTTTACAAAAAATAAGGTATTATTTCATAAACAATATTTTAAAAAATGTTTAAGAATGTAATCACGTTTTATGTATTATATATCTTAGCTGCACGCATTTACACATGTATGTGTATTTGTTTCACATTAATGTGTGGAGCAACTGTCACGTTGTTGCCGAGCCGCTATAGATAGACACAGATGATATTGAATCACACTAACACTAAAATAAAGATGTTTAAATCGATCCAATGCATGCGATTGAAACAACGAACAGAAAAACCTCCCGTCAGCCGTGGCTATCGGTCTTCAAATAATTTAAAAAGCAAAAGAAAAAATGTATTCACACAATACACTCGCATTGAGTTATAATGCCTATACTCACGAAGATCGCTTGTGCGCGCCTCAAAAGTATACGCGGAAACAACCAATGTGAATGGAAAATATCAAAGGTCTTATGCTGTGACCAGAAGTGAGCAATACATAAATTGTTCCAAGTCAATCTTCTTTGAAGAGTTATTTGTGTGTAACTTTTTTTTGGATTATTTAAATTTATTGTTCTCGATTTCCGTTTTTTTTTTTGTTTTGTTTAACCAAAATATATATTTTTTAATATTTTTTTTTATGTGAATAACATATATAAAACAAGAAAGGAAGCAAACTTCGGCAAGCCGAAGTTTATATACCCTTGCAGTTATTCCAAATTGACAACATTTCGATTTCTATGCTTATATTACTAAAAACAATGAAGCTATGTCGATTTTGCGCTGCATTTTGCCAGCGTTTCTATGGCAGCTATACGATATTGTGCTCCGATTTTTATTTAATTAAAACCGTAATTCCATAAAATTTAAATATTACCAAATCCCAAAGAACAAAAAAAAAAACAAGAACAAACATAATATTCTGTAAATTATATTCTCCAATTATTTATATGATGCATTTATAACACTCATAAAAATCCCAACTTCCTATCTTTAAAAACACCAAAGTTATGGCATTTCCAATCGTTCAGTTATATGGCAGCTACAGGATATAGTCGGCCGATCCCGGCCGTTCCGACTTATATACTGCGTGCAAAGGAACGAATGGTGTGTGCAAAGTTTCAATTCGATATCTTTAAAACTGAGAGACTAGTTAGCGTAGAAACAGACAGACGGACAGAAAAAAGACCTATTTTTATACCCTTGCAAAGGGTATTATAATTTTGGTCAAAAGTGTGCAACGCAGTGACCTATAAAGTATATATATTCTTATATCCCTATAAAGTATATATATTCTTGATCAGGATCATCTCCTGAGTTGATATAGTCATGTCCTTCTGTCTGTTTCTACGCAAACTAGTCTCTCAGTTTTAAAGCTATCGAGTTGAAACTTTGCACACAGCCTTCTTTCCTTTGCACGCAGTATATATGTCGGAACGGCCGGGATCGGCCGACTATATCCTATAGCTGCCATATAACTGATTGATCGGAAATGCCATAACTTTGGTGTTTGTAAAGTTAGGAATTTGAAATTTTCTACGGGTTTTATATTTGGCCAATCAATCCGACCTAACAAATTTCATAAGGATCGGCCGACTATATCCTATAGCCGCCATATAACTGTTTGATCTCAAATGCCATAACTTTGGTGTTTGTTAAGTTAGGAAGTTGGGATTTTCTATGGGTTTTATTTTTGGCCAATCAATCCGACCTACCAAAGTTCATAAGGATCGGCAGACTATATCTTATAGCTGCCATATAACTGAACGATTGGAAATGCTATAACTTTGGTGTTTTTAAAATTAGGAAGTTGGGATTTTTTATGAGTATTAAGAATGCATCATATGAATAATTTTGAAGAATATAATTTACAGAGTATTCTGCAAGGGTATATCAACTTCGGCTCCGCCCGAAGTTAGCTTTCCTTTCTTGTCATGAATTTTTTCACACGATATGGTTTATGTCAGATCAATTATTTTATAAGCATATCAAAGTAAAACATTTAAACTGTTTTCACAAATTTTCATCGAACAAAAAAAAATAAATGAGCTGTTCGCAGCCAAACTCCGTTGGCACCTCCAAGAAAAAAGTTTTTGCGGTGAACAGCATAACTAGTTACTGGTTCATTAGAAAAAGCCAAAAAAAAATTAATTATTAGTTAAGATGTTTCTAAAGGTAATTACGTTGAGTTTTTTTATACCCTTGCAGAGGGTATTATAATTTTGGTCAAAAGTGTGCAACGCAGTGAAGGAGACATCTCCGACCCTATAAAGTATATATATTCTTGATCAGGATCACCTCCTGAGTTGATATAGCCATGTCCGTCTGTCCGTCTGTCTGTCCGTCTGTCTGTCCGTCTGTCTGTCTGTCTGTCCGTCTGTCTGTTTCTACGCGAACTAGTCTCTCAGTTTTAAAGATATCGAATTCAAACTTTGCACACACCCTTCTTTTCTTTGCACGCAGTATATAAGTCGGAACGGCCGGGATCGGCCGACTATATCCTATAGCTGCCATATAACTGATTGATCGGAAATGCCATAACTTTGGTGTTTGTTAAGTTAGGAAGTTGGGACTTTCTATGGGTTTTATATTTGGCCAATCAATCCGACGTACCAAATTTCATAAGGATCGGCCGACTATATCTTATAGCTGCCATATAACTGATTGATCGGAAATGCCATAACTTTGGTGTTTGTTAAGTTAGGAAGCTGGTATTTTCTATGGGTTTTATTTTTGCCCAATCAATCCGACATATCAAATTTCATAAGGATCGGCCGACGATTGGAAATGCCATAACTTTGGTGTTTTTAAAGTTAGGAAGTTGGGATTTTTTATGAGTATTAAGAATGCATCATATGAATAATTTTGGAGAATATAATTTGCAGAATATTCTGCAAGGGTATTTCAACTTCGGCTCCGCCCGAATTTAGCTTTCCTTTCTTGTTTATTTATTCAATTTTTGGATTTTTGGTAACACGTTGAAGTCAAAATCATGATTTCAGCCTAAATATATATTAGTTATTATAAAAGGGAAAATAATCAGTAAACAAGAAAGGAAAGCTAACTTCGGGCGGAGCCGAAGTTGATATACCCTTGCTGAATTCTGAAATCTGTAAATTATATTCTCCAAAATTATTCATATGATGCATTCTTAATACTCATAAAAAATCCCAACTTCCTAACGTTAAAAACACCAAAGTTATGGCATTTCCAATCGTTCAGTTATATGGCAGCTATAGGATATAGTCGACCGATCCTTATGAAATTTGGTAGGTCGGATTGATTGACCAAAAATAAAACCCATAAAAAATGCAAACTTCCGAACTTTCGGCTCCCCCGAAGTTAGCTTTCCTTTCTTGATTAATATGTATCCAACCAAAAACCTTTTCACTTAGTTATCAAACAACAAAACTAAGGAAAACAATAGTAATAATTTAATTTAAAAAAAAAAGTTCAATCTCTAGTAACACCAGGCCCAAATTATATTATATATTTACTAAGAAAAACATTGGAAATAATTTGGTCTAATAAATATAAAAAGGAAGAACACATTTAGAAAACTAAGCATTAAAACTCATCCTAGATGAATAAATTTATACAAATTTAATGTATCTTAGGGCTTTTGAGATTCGGCTAATATTTGTACTTACCGGTGGTAGGAGCAATAGTAGACTCGGATACATTTTTGGGAGACACTATGGGAATTCTATAACAATAAAAAGAAGTATAAAAATTAAAGTAGAAATTAGTTAATTGAGCACCAATAAATGCTTAGCTTTTGACCTTTTAAAAAACACTTTTTTAATATTAAAATAAAACACGAAAGAAAGCAAACTTCGGCAAGCCGAAGTTTATATACCCTTGCAGTTATTACAAAACGACTATTTCGATTTTATGCCTATTTTACTAAAAACAATGAAGCTCTGACGATTTTGAGCTGCTTTTAGACATAGTTTTATGATATTATACATGGTATTGTGGTCCGATTTTTACAAAACTGAAAGCTTAATTCTGATATAGTATTTAATTACTATATCTGAAAGGAATATTTTGCTTTCAATTTTTCGATTTTCCTATGGAAGTTATATGATATACATAGACGTCCGATATTAATTTTATTAAATCCGCAATTCCCTAGTATTTAAGTATTACCACAACCCAGAGAACAAAAAAAACATTTTGAAAACAACAGTTTTCGATTATTTCTATGGGAGCTATTTGATATAGTCTTCTGATCCAGCTCGTTCCGGCTTATATACTACCTGCAATAGAAAAACAACTTTTGGTTTTAAGCAGATAGCTTTAAAACTGAAGGACTAGTTTTCGTAAAAGCTGACGTACGGACATGGCTAGATCGACTCTCCTGGTGATTCTTATCAAGAATATATATACTTTATAGGGTCGGAAATTTCTCCTTCAGTGCGTTGCAAGCTTTTGGCGGGAATTATAATACCCTTTGCAAGGTTATGATGAGACATTTTAAGTTAGTTTAATCCCTATTTTAATATAATTCAATTTTAATAAAACAAAAAATACATATTCCGAATTTAAAAAAAATGAATTCCGCTGATATGTTTAAAATGATGGAAGTTATACATTTTTTTCGGAAAATTTCATTCAAGGTATAAAAATAAAACTTTAAATTTTTAAAATGAAAATATATATATAATATTTGTTTTTTATTTTATTTTCATAATAAAAGACCAATCCCACTCCGACTAAAAAATCTACATAGAAAAGATTCCCAATACGTCTTAAATGCTACAGAAATAAATTACTAAAAAGTAAATGTAAGCTAAATAAATATGGCGGCCCACGTATTACGTTTATACACTCGCCCTTTTTGGAAATAAAAAATTAATAATAAACTATTTTATAAGAATATTTCTTTTTGACTTTTATTAAGTTGCAAAAAACATTGCTGCCTATCTACTTGACGTTAAACAAGGAGATAACCGTTACTTGGGTAAAACATTTCAAAATTAATAAATTTTTAAAACGCTCTCCTGAAAAGTTTCAATTTTCAAAGTCGGTGTACAAAATCTACTGCACAGTACTTATTTACTAAATTCCCCATGTAAAGCTGTAGTTTTTTGAAAATTTGTTTATTTTTAAAACAACAAATAACTCCGATTTTTGGGCAAAAATCAAAGGTTTTGATTTTTAAGTACCTTTAAAAATCGTAAAAAAAATTAATAAATAATAACTCGACAGCGTTACCTGTGAAAATGTGTCCTTTAAATAATGAAATTTGAGTGTGTCGATAGATATAGACTGAACAAGTGTGTTTAGTGCAGTTTTGACATATTACGTTTTGTGTTTTGTGATTTTTGGTCGTTAGAGTGGGCATAGCAACATAAGCTTGCGCTCCAACCTAGAATCATCATAAAAAACCCAAATCCCTAGCTCTTGTAGTTTCTGATATCTGATCATATGGACGAACATATAGACGGCCATGGCTAAAACTACTCGACTACTGCTCCTGATCAAGAGTATAAGCTACGAGTAACGGGGGATAAAATAGGACACGAGCCTTCATATGTGAGCTATATCGATTTTAATAAAACTCAAGGTTTTGGTTTAAAATTGAAATAAATATGTAAGACAAAAACTGCGAGTAATACAAAAAGTTCTTTAAAAATAATCTATTTAACAAAATTCCACTATTGTTCCAATTGCAGCTTTGGATGAAACATTCATAAATTATAAAGAATAATCGGAAAAATAATTATAACTTCGTTGTTTTTTTGACACATGTGGATATACATTTTCAGAATTTTTGAACAATATATTTACAGCTGTCATAGCTTCATTGTTTTTAAACGCAATATATTTAGTTATACTTATTAACGTATTCAGATTTAATATTTCAAACTAAGTTTTTTATCACAATGGTCGGCAAAATTGCAATTTCGATTTAATTTTGAGGCATTGAGCTTAAAATTAAAATAACCATTATTTCTTGTAGGAATTTTATTAATTGAGGAAGTCCTCCTTTTCTTGAAGACATTTCAATATCAAGTGATAACTTACTTTTTGCTTCTACCTCTTTGAGGCGTTGGTAATATTTCAACCGAAGGTGCATCAGACATGGCGGATACGATTGGAGTCTGCCCAACATCTTGGCGGCTTATTGATATTGGATCTGCAAAAAATGTTAATGTTAACAAGAAATGTTTTTTTAATATAACAACTATTTAAGTCTATTTCGAAAAACCAATAAAGGCGTAATACTTTTTTTTTTATCACAGTGGACGTATTGCTCCGAGAGGGAATTGAAAATTTGTTCTCAAACAAAAAATCAATTTCTATACACTTGCAGAGGGTAATAATACCCTAATTTCAGACAAAAGTTTTGGAACGCAGTGAAGGATACATATAAAGTATATATACATTTTTGATCAGAATGATAAGACGAGTCGATCTAGCCATGCCAGTCTGTTCGTTCGTCTGCGCGGTCCAATTGGAAGTAGTATATTTCATCATTGTTTCTTAACACATGGGTATGTAATGTTATATGAATAATCTGTGAGATATATTCATTTGTCAATACAATACAGCCATATGTTATGCAGTTCTAAAGCTTAGTTTTATAGCAAAACAAAACACCTTCTAACGAGGTCAAAATGCCTCGATGACCTTAAAAAAAAACAAGAAAAAAAGCTAACTTCGGGCGGAGCCGAAGCTGAATATTCTGTAAATGATATTCTCCAAAACTATTCATAAGATGCATTCTTAACACTCATAAAAAATCCCAACTTCCTAACTTTAAAAACTCCAAAGTTATGGCATTTCCGATCAACCAGTTATATGGCAGCTATAGGATATAGTCGGCCGATCCCGGCCGTTCCGACTTATATACTGTGTGCAAAGTTTCAATTCGATATCTTTAAAACTGAGACACTAGTTCGCGTAGAAACAGACAGACGGGCATGCTTATATCAACTCAGAAGGCGATCCTGATCAAGAATATATATACTTTATAGGGTCGGAGATAAGGAGACATCTTCGTTGCACACTTTTGACCAAAATTATAATACGCTCTGCAAGGGTATAAAAATAAATTTTATGTAAAATTTATTAACCAAGAGCTCTAATATATATTAATACACACGAGGACTGATCAGGGTATGCATAAACAAGAAAGGAAAGCTAACTTCGGGCGGAGCCGAAGTTGAAATACCCTTGCAGAATATTCTGCAAATTATATTCTCCAAAATTATTCATATGATGCATTCTTAATACTCATAAAATATCCCAACTTCCTAACTTTAAAATCACCAAAGTTATGGCATTTCCAATCGTTCAGTTATGTATATGGCAGCTATGGAATATAGTCGGCCGATCCTTATGAAATTTGATATGTCGGATTGATTGGCTAAAAATAAAACCCATAGAAAATCCCAACTTCCTAACTTAACAAACACTAAAGTTATGGCATTTCCGATCAATCAGTTATATGGCAGCTATAAGATATAGTCGGCCGATCCTTATGAAATTTGGTAGGTCGGATTAATTGGCCAAATATAAAACCCATAGAAAATCCCAACTTCCTAACTTAACAAACAGCAGAGTTATGGCATTTCCGATCAATCAGTTATATGGCAGCTATAGGATATAGTCGGCCGATCCTTATGAAATTTGGTACGTCGGATTGATTGACCAAATATAATACCCATAGAGAGTCCCAACTTCCTAACTTAATAAACAGCAGAGTTATGGCATTTCCGATCAATCAGTTATATGGCAGCTATAGGATATAGTCGGCCGATCCCGGCCGTTCCGACTTATATACTGCGTGCAAAGGAAAGAAAGGTGTGTGCAAAGTTTCAATTCGATATCTTTAAAACTGAGAGACTAGTTCGCGTAGAAACAGACAGACGGACAGACAGACGGACAGACAGACGGACAGACAGACGGACAGACGGACATGGCTATATCAACTCAGGAGGTGATCCTGATCAAGAATATATATACTTTATAGGGAGATGTCTCCTTCACTGCGTTGCACACTTTTGACCAAAATTATAATACCCTCTGCAAGGGTATAAAAATAAGATTTAGAAAGAAGCATGTCATAGTTTTTCCGATTGTTCCTATTGGAGCTATTGGATATAGACATGGCTATATCGACTACTCTATTGATCCTGATCAAGAATATATATATATATGGTTTCGGAAACGTCTCCTTCACTGCGTTACAAACTTCTGACCAAAATTATAATACCCTCTGCAAGGGTATAACAAGTTCGCCATAGGACAAATTTTAATCTTTCCAGTGTGACTGCATTTTTGAGAGTTCATCAGAAGGAATTGTTGAGAAATTGTTAAAAATCAACGGCTATTAAAAGATATTCTCAAGTACATTGGACAGACAACTTATTTAATCATATAATATTTAACTTCTTGCAGGCAATATCTTTGAGTTTTTTCGTTGGGGTTTTGAAACACTAAACCCTAAGAAACCCTGTTTTTCGAAAACAGACACTTCAAAAGATTTTTTAAGGATATATTTAGGTCTTGACGAACGTTCATTCTGAGTTCATATCAGAGTAAGTAAATTTCTTGTATTTTTTTGTCGATCTGAGTACCGTAGTGAGAAAAGGGCGTAAGGATTTTTATTAGCAATTTCACAAGTATGGTTTTATTTTTATAAAAATCAGACACTTATATCATATAGTTGCCTTGCGAACAATCGAAAAATAGACTTAGCTTCATTGATTATATCAATGGAGCTAGGGCGTTTTTTGAAAATTTTTGGCAGCTATATAAAATTATCCTCCGATTTTTATAAAATTTAAACCAAATTTCTGAATATACTATATCCATACCCTATCGAAATATAAAATATTTAATTTTTGTACCATCTGCAAAAGTAAAACAACTTTCTTTTTTGTTTTCAATTATTTTGCTAATTCTTTCGATGGGAAAAAATACTTTTGAGAAAGTTTTATCTACATAGCTTTAAAACTGAAAATTTAAATGTTGCTGAGGGACCATAAAGGAAAAACAAATTCTTATTGTTGATAATGTAGATGTAGTTGCCTGACTTAAAAAAAAATTTTAAGGTCTGCATTTTTTTTCAATTCTATTTAGAAACAATAATATTATGCTTGCCTGACAAATATGTATATGTATAAAGTGGCATTGCGCAAGTTGCACTTGTATCTCTCCAAATCACATTTCAACCAATTTTGTATGAATATCCGATTGGACCCGATATATGTCTATAGAAAGACAAACACAAAGAGGACTCCTTCTTATAATATGGTAATTTATAGTAATAAGTTGAAGTTTAGATTTATAACAATACATCTGATATGTTAAGAAAAACATTCTGAGTGAATGAGAAATTTTGGTATATTTTATTCTATTTTTACTGAACTTTTGCGTTTTTGTAAATAAGCCTGAGCCAATTACTAATTACCAAATTTTTTATGTTGAGATAGAAAAAAATTATTTGAAAAATAAACGCGTAATATAGTAATATTAATTAGTAATCTTAATTATTTCTTTAGCTAATAGGATTCAATATTATGAAGAAATTTTTACTTTTTTGGTTCTTATTACGCGAAAATCTTGCGTTTTAAATAAGCCGCAGTAAAACGCGAAGAATTTGTAAAACTGTAAATTGCACTTCTGATAATTGATTGTGGAAATTTGATTTTTTTAAACCTTAAATTATATTAAGTTTAGCATATTTAGCATATTGTTTAGCATTTGTAAAATGCAATAACTCCCAGTGATAATAAAAGTGCGATATATCGATCGCGTTATTGCACGCACATTAACAAATACAATACAATATTCTAAAAAAAAAAACTTTATAAGTACATACCGACGGGGGTGTAAGCTGCAGTTGTCCTTAATTCAGACCCTTGTGATGGTATATTGCTTAAATTAATATTTCCAACATCATCTTGCTGTGGAACACGGATTGGGCCATCTGAAAGGACTGTTACTTGTTCCGAGTTATCATTATCTGTATTTGAGTTTCCCTTTAAATTATACAAAAAAAAAAATGTTAAATTTTTTTTAAATGTAAAGATTTATAATTACGTGCCTTATCTAAATCGTCTAAAATATTTTTTTTAGTTGTCGGATCGATTATCTGCAAGCGATGCTGATGCCGGCGTCTCCCTGCAGGCTGCACCTGCACGGGCTGCGGCTGTACACTTGGTGGCATTACTCCAACTCCAACCATAGGAGGCACTCCCATTCCACTGCCAGGACCACCGACACCCATTACAGTGTTTGCTCCAGGCTGCACGGTGCTAGTAAGCAATTGAAGCTGCGACGAGGTAGCCCCAGGACCAGGCAGTGGACCATTGGGTCCGGACTGCACTGGCTGCAAAGTGTTTCCCACATTAACGTTCGTATTTACCGTAACGGCACTACGAGTATGTGGCGGCGGCTGCTGCTGGAGAGTTGGCACGTATTGGTACTGGTAGTAGGGCATTGGGGCGGGTGCATATTGCAAATGTGAAGTTGGAAATGTTTGTTGTCGCGGATTATATTGTGTGTATGGTTGTAGCACCATGTTCTGGTGAAGGGACTGTGAGTACATGGGTTGTACATGGAGATGGCGACCGCTGCTAGCACCTCTTGGGACATTCTGTGTCGGTGGTCCTCGAAATATTCCGCCACTTGGTGGATTAGGACGGTTATTCCCAGAACTGTTGTTTCCGGTTGATACATACTGAAAATATGTTAAAGGGAAATTAAAAATCAACAGCAAGGACGTGGTAGGAGCTTGAAATGAAATTGAACATTATCGTAAAATAAAAAAGTTATTAAAAAGAAAGAAAAAGGAACTGTTTTTTTTTACACCAACTTGAACAATTTAAACGACAAAATGGGGAACAGTTAGCAATAGAGAAAAACATATATATTAACATTTTTTATTCCCCGAAACGAATTATCAATTTGTTTCGAAGTGGAATATTATCATTCACATTAATCCAATATACCCTTGTGATCTTTATGTAATAATAAGAAGATTTATTCACTAGTTTACAAATATTTATTTAAGTTACTTAAAAAAAACATTTGTAAATATCCTATTTTTCCATAACTGTTGTCAAAATTGTCCTATTGCTTGGAAATAATTCTGAACGTTTGAATGACTTTAAATTTTGAAAATAGTTATTTTAAAGTAAGGAAACTAAAACAAAACTTAATGTAAAATGCATCTGTTCCGAAAATCACAGTATTTCCGATGGTTTACCTCTGCTGTCGATGCTTGGAAGCTATTATTTGTTACCAAACTACTGTTTTTGAAATCATACTTTCTACTCGTATCAACAGAATTGACGCTAACACCAACGATATTCTTGTCGTGCATGTAGTTTGTCCCTGCTGTAGTCGTGCCCAGAGCGACACCCATAGTTGATCCTATGTGCGAATTAGGCAACGTTATTTGACTGTTATTACTGGCTCCGTTGCAAGAACTCGTTCCATTCCCGACTACGGGGATCGAGGTATTTGTTACTACTGTTGCGCAACCGATGTGGTTGCCATTTTTTGTAATGTCCGGTACATTGAGAAAGCGAACGTTTCCATCTAGGCATCCAGGTATTGCCCTGTGATTGGATAGGTTGTAAATGGCGGTCGAATTCAAATCACCAGACGTTAGTTGACAACTATTTACTGTCAATATGTTGGAGCCGTTGCATATAACCGTTGATTGCTGGGCTCCAACAGGTCCTGAACCAGATATAGATCTATTTACAACGTTCGCATAGCTTTGTTGATGCTGCTTTGTTTGCTGGATATGATGGGATGGTGGTTGTTGCTGGTGCGTCAGGTGTGGGGTCTGGTGAGCATTCTGCGCTGTTGCCTTAAGAATGGAGACCACATTGTAAGCCTTATTTATCTGAAACTGAGGCTGTGATGTAGGATGACTATGCTGCTGTTGCAGGGGCTGCTGAAGGGATTGTGGCTTTGAAGATGGCACCTGTTGAACGTACTTTTTGGTCTTTTTATTGGCTGGCAAAATCTACAACAGATCACAAGAGTAGGGATATTTCCGGACTGTAGAATTTTATTAGCAATAATTTTTAACTTAAAAATGTAGTCAAAGAGTACAAACATAAAACAGCAAAACCAAAATTAAAAAAAAAATATTTTTAATTAATTAAAAAAATATTTGTTTTAAAAAATAAAACAAATTTGCGGCCTTCAAACCGTTCTGTACTCAAAAGTATATTGTTTGGAAAATGTGAAAAAAAAACACAAAAAAGAAAAAACAAAATGTCTTTATTGTTGTTAATTAATATAGAATTAAATTTCTCCACGATGTAAGATGTATTTCTATACTCCTGAGTGGTGATTTAGGAATTCTTAAAATCTGATTGGGTTGCTTTCAAACAAAGGTTTTTTTATTTTTTTAACGCGGAACCCAACACGTTTTTATGCTGAATCGCGCTTTCTTGACGCAACCGATTGGGTGCGAATCAAGCAAAGAAAACCACATACCTCAAATTTTTCAGTTTAACGACCCAATGCTGGGAATAAAGAACGTGAGGAAATTCAACATTGAAATTGATTTTAATATTGCTTAGAAGAGGAAAACCACTTACCTAAAATAACCAAAACCCTCTAATCGGGATTTTTTTAGAGCACAGTATCTTTTCGAAATCCCTTTTTATGTAAAAAAAAAAAACTAAACAAAAGCAGCTTTTTTACTTTGACTATGAGCCCTACGAGCAAATAGGGGACCTACAAAACTAACTACATAAGTTTATCCCTGGATGTCGACGCCGCTCGTTTGTATTAACCACCAGCACAAAGCATTGTCTATAGGGTCCTTCCTTGTGAAAAGTGGTGTTGTTTGCAGTTAAGTTTCATTTACTATAGTTGTTTCCTTTTCTAGTATGCATTGCCATTACATACATTTTTTTTGGTAATTGATTAAGTAACTTCTGTGCAATTTGTGAATAGAGCTGGAAAACAGAATTCGTATACCCTTTTTTCAGCCAAAAGTTCGCTACGCAGTGAGTGCGTCTGTCCGTTTCTACGGTCTATTGGGTGTCGTGTGTTTATTGCAATGGTGTGTTTTGCCAAACAGTTTGTATGTTTAAGGAGACGTTCCCGGTATCGATTTGAGGAGTTACAAATCGTCACCGGTACCATCGGCACTTCCGTGTCCTGGAACATAACTTGATTTTCCACATAATGGTGTCACAGCATCGTCCTGAGACCCTTTGTAATGTACATTTGCACCGTTTTAGTGATGAATTACAGGCCGTGCTCCAGCAATGGATTCCCCAGTTTAATGTCGGGGTGACAATGGCCCTAAAAAGCCGCACCTTGGCTAAAAGGTATAGGCCGCTTAATGGACGAGGAGCCAGTCCATTTTATCATTTTGTCCTCGCTGACCCACAGACTCGATCAATTTGTCCTTTGCAACGAAAGCGATGATCTAAGGAAACTCCGAGGTAAGTCACCTTTTCTTCGACCTTGAGCCTATTCCAATCAATGTAGAGGCTACGCGAACACCAAGGGCGGAGAGCAAATGTGGCGTGCTGCGTTTTGTCAACTTATAGCGCAATATTGGAGGATCCGAAGTGTAAATTGTGTACAGGACCGGACCAAGGACACTTTCCTGTGGGCGTTGTCCAAAAAGATGTCTAAGGCAAACCTATTATCCAAGAATGATACAATGAGCTCCCAGAATAACTCAAGCAAATGCGGGGTTAGCGCAATTAAATAAAAATCGGACATCTACATCATATAGCTCCCATAGGAAAATCAAAAAAACAAAAAAATTAATATTAAAAAAGTTTATTTTGCGGTTTTTCTATTTATTAAAATATTCCTTTGAGATATAGAAATTATTTACTATATCAGGATTACGCTTTTAGTTATGTAAAAATCTGACAAAATTCAGCTCAAAATCAACATAGCTTTATTGTTTTTAGTAATATAAGCATACAAATCGAAATGTACTCTTTTTGTACTAACTGCAAGGGTATATAAACTTCGGCTTGCCGAAGTTTGCTTCATTTCTTGTTAATTTTTTCTTGTCCGATGGGAGCTATATGATATAGTCGCCCGATCCGACTCGTTTCGACTTACTACCTGTAATAAAAAGAAAACTTTTGGGAAAGTTTCAAGCAGAAAGCTTTAAAAATGAGGGTCTAGTTTGCGTAGAAACGGACAGACGGACGGACATGACTAGATCGACTCTCCTGGTGATGCTGATCAAGAATATACCATATATACTTTATGTAGTCGGAAATGTTTCCTTTACTGAAATGCAAGCTTTTGACTGAAATTATAATACCCTCTGCAGGGGTATTAAAAAGCACAAGAAAATTCAATCAAAAGACAAACGTAAACATGCAAAACGTCATTGAAGATCATAGAGATGTACTCAACACCACAATTGAAGGACGTGCAAACCAACCATTTCAAAACTAATCTGCAATTGGCTTGCAAACCAACAGATCGCCATCTTCAAAGCATCTCGCACACTAAACCGAGCCCTGGAAGGCGCTGAAAATGCACATTTACGGGACATCGGAAAACTTTTGCCGACCAGTACCATACTTCCTCTGTGGAGGGCTCACCCAAATCGAAGCTGAAACTATTTCCTTACCAATTTTTTTTTAGCCAAAGGAAATCGGGAAAGTTATCGGGGATCTGAAACCGAAAAAGGCTCCGGGCGGTGACTAATAACACCAAAAATGATAATTAAACTTCCAAACCTTGAGGATATTTGTAAATTTTTCAATGGGATAGTACGTCTCGGCAACTATCCGAGCAAATTGAAAAAATCTATCATAATGATACCGAAGCCCGGAAAAGACCATCCTACAGACCAATAAGTTTATTATCGTGCCTGTCTAAATTGTTCAAAAAATGCCTCCTAACACGCTTAATACCATATCTGGAAGTACACAATGTTACCCCGGCACATCAATTTGGCTTCCGTCAAAGCCATCAGAAATACGCACAGCCTTCGAGCATCGGGAATAATCCTCGATGTATCTCAAGCTTTCGACCGAGTCTGGCTCGATGACCTAATGCATAAAATCAAAACACACTTGCCTACATACACTCATAAGCTACTTGAGGTCTATCTCAACAACAGAGTCTTCGCAGTAAGGTGCAACACAACAACATCTGACGACTACATTATCAAAGCTGGAGTCCCGCAAGGAAGTACAGTTGGGCCTACTCTGTTCGTCCTATATACAGTGGATATTCCTACGAACAAGCAGCTAACAACATCTACGTTAGCTGACAACACAACAATTTTAAATCGCTCGTGGTGCCACGCCGAGCAACAACACAACTAGCCAATCACCTCATCGTAGTTGAGAGGTAGCTATCTGATTGCACTTAAATAAATGAACAATTCAACTTTTTTTCGAGACACGTCCGGACAATTGCTACCTGGCAATATTTTTGAATATTTCTTTGTACAAATTTAATAAGACATTCTTCGAATGTCATACACTAATGTACCATTCGTTGAGTAAATACATTTTAACTGTGTCGTCTTCCTGACGACACAAAAACATGGTTTTTTCGTATTATTTGAATAATAAAATAGAACCGGCGGCGGCAGCTAAGCCGTCGAATTTGTCGGGGGCCGTTGTCAATTCTTCAATTTTTATTTTTTTCCTTATTAAACTTATATTATACTCCTTATCCAATAATTAAACAAACATAAAATTTCAAGAAATTAAAAACAAATTAACACTTCTTTTTCTGAGAAATCATTGATTACATTTTCCTTACATTGTTTAAAAAAAACTAAACAGAATTCTTCTGCGAGATCATTATCTTCATTTTTTAAATTTTTATACCCGTTACTCGTAGAGTAAAAGGGTATATTGTATTCGTGCAAAAGTATGTAACAGCTAGAAGGAAGCGTTTCCGACCCTATAAAGTATATATATTCTTGATCAGGGTCACTAGCCGAGTCGATATAGCCATGTCCGTCTGTCTGTCTGTCTGTCTGTCCGTCTGTCCGTCCGTATGAACGCTGAGATCTCGGAAACTATAAAAGCTAGAAGATTGGAATTTTGCATGCAGATTCTATGAGTTCCTACGCAGCGCAAGTTTGTTTCAAAAAGGTGCCACGCCCCCTTAAACGCCCACAATCGCTTATATACGATTTTAAAAATTTAAATATTTCGGAAAAGTAAAAATGCAGTTTTATTGTGTTTTTCAATACCTATCGAAATGTACAAAAAATTTTTCAAATCGGACCATTCGTTAAAAAGTTATGCGTGATCAAAGTTTCTATCTCCATCTCCCTCGCACTCCCTTTACCTGAGTAACGGGTATCTGATAGTCGGGGCACCCGACTATAGCGTTCTCTCTTGTTAAATTTTTAAACTAAAAAATATGAATAAACAAAAACCTAGCATAAACCTTCTTTGCATGTTTCGTAATTATCATGTATAAATATGACTTTATTAACATTATGAGGACTGAGCTGCGATCGTTTTTGAGAAACGGTAAGTCCAGCAATCGAAAAACTCGTTCACTAGGTGTGCTCGTTGCCGGAATACACACCCTCTGTGAAAGCTTCGATAAGAATAATAATTCCATAGTATTAAAAAATTACAAATTCCCAAAGAACAAAAAATACAATTGAAAACAACAAAATTATATTTTAAAAAAAATGTTTCCGATTCTGACTTATGCTCTACCTGCAATAGAAAGATTACTTTTGGAAAAGTTTTAAGCAGATAGCTTTACAATTGAGGGACTAGTTTGCGTAGAAACGGACGGACAGACGGACGGCTAGATCGTTGCAAACTTTTGACTGAAATTATAATACCCTCTGCAAGGGTAACAGATCTTAAACAATATTAACAAACTTAAAAATTATTACTGTGATAATGTCCTTTAACATCCTAAAACTCATTTAGCAGAATATGATAATATAATTTTTCTAACAAAAGTAAATCAATTTAAAATTTATAATTCTGCGAGTAAAACTATAGAAATTAAAAAAAATAGAAGGCCATATTGGTAATATTCGAATTACACCTTAAAAAAATAGAAATTAAAAGTTATTTGCTCGTATTTATTTATTGAAAAATAGCGATCACAGTTAATAACAGCTTTTATTCCTAATGTCTATCTACCATATATAGTTATAAACCAGCAGTAATCGGCCATCATATTTTCATTCCATCTTCCCTGTTATCTTTCTTTTGAAATTCGTAAAGCCTGGTAAAAACGTCGCCTTGCTCTTCGCTGTAAGCTATAAGGCTTTCCAAGCTTAAAATAATATTTGATCCATAAAATTAAAAAAATGTTCGTCATTTATTCCATTAAAAAATTGTAGCCTTAAGTTGTTCTTTACTTAGTCCGTGAAATTTTCTTGTAATATATTTAAAGCAGGTTCCTTACTTGTTCAATACCTGTTTTATTAAACCCACGGCCAACGATTTTCTTTCAGGCCAAATGGTCCTTGCCCAATGCTGACTTTTATTTTTGCGGTCTCAGAAGCAAAGAAAGCCGGTATACTTTGTACAAAAAAAAGAAAGTGGACTTGAAGTCTACACACACAACCCGATTATGCTGTTTATTTTTATACCCTTGCAGAGGGTATTATAATTTTGGTCAGAAGTTTGTAACGCAGTGAAGAAGACGTTTCCGACCCCATAAAGTATATATATTCTTGATCAGGATTAATAGGGGAGTCGATATAGAAATGTCCGTCTGTCCGTCCGTCCGTCTGTCCGTCTGTTTCAATACCGTTTGCGGGCTCAGTTTAAAAGCTAGCGATCTGAAACTTTCACACTCGTCCTAAAACATGTGTACGCAAATCAAGTTTGAAAATCGCCCCGATCGGACGCCTATATCCTATAGCAATCGGATATATCTCGCAAGAATTTATGATATTTCGAGCAGTGTAAAAGCTATTGACATGAATCTTTCCCAATCGTATTTTTTTATGCATACCTTGATCAGGGTAAAAGCGCGTGCCGATCGGACGTCTATATCCTATAGCTCCCATAGGAACAATAGGGTAAAATCCGTCCAAATTTGATGTTTTTCAGAATATTTTGCGCAGTGTAAAAGCTATTGCTATACATATTTTCAAATCGTATTTTTTCATACATTCCTTCATCAAGGTAAAAGCGCGTGCTGATCAGACACTATGTCCTATAGCTCCCATAGGATATTTCGCACAGTATATAAGCAATTGACATGAATCTTTCCAAATCGTATTTTTTTATGCATACCTTGATTAGGGTAAAAGCGCTTGCCGATTGGACGGGTATATCTTATAGCTTCCGTAAGAAAAATGGTTAAAGGCTGCGAAAGTATCCCTTTTTTTTCCATTTTTATACCCTTGCAGAGGGTATTATAATTTTTGTCAAAAGTGTGCAACGCAGTGAAGGAGACATCTCCGCCCCTATAAAGTATATATATTCTTGATCAGGATCACCTCCTGAGTTGATATAAACATGTCCACATGTCCGTCTGTCCGTCCGTCCGTCTGTCCATCTGTGTGTCTGTCTGTTTCAACGCGAACTAGTCTCTCAGTTTTAAAGATATCGAATTGAAACTTTGCACACACCCTTCTTTCCTTTGCATGCGGTATATAAGTCGGAACGGCCGGGATCGGACGACTATATCATATAGCTGTCATATAACTGAACAATCAGAAATGCCATAACTTTGGCGTTTGTAAAGTTGGGAAGTTGGGGTTTTCTATGGGTTTTATATTTGTCCAACCAATCCGACCTACCAAATTTCTTAAGGATCGGCCGACTATATCCTATAACTGCCATATAACTGAACGATCGGAAATTTCATGACTTTGGTAAAGTTAGGAAGTTGGGATTTTTTTGAGTGTCAAGAATGCATCATATGAATAATTTTGGAGAATATAATTTACAGAATATTCTGCAAGGGTATTTCAACTTCGGCTCCGCCCGAAGTTAGCTTTCCTTTCTTGTTTATTTTGAGCTTTTGAAATTGTTTCGTTAAATTTGTTTAGTTTGGTCAGTGGGTACTGGTCCATATAACCGGCTTTTTCCGACTACCTGCAATAGAAAAAAACAACTTTTGGGAAAGTTTCATGCAGAAAGCTTTAAAACTTAGGGACTAGTTTGCATAGAAACGGACGGACGGACATGGCTAGATCGACCATTCTGGTGATCTGATCAAGAATATATATACTTTATAGTGTCGAAAATGTCCCATTCACTGCGTTTCGACTGAAATTATAATACCCTCTGCAGTGGTAAAAAATTAGCTGTTTATTAAGCAACCGACTATTGATAACTGTGCTCCATTTTCACGTTTGTTTTTTTTAATTATATTAAATTATAAATAATTTTTTTTCAAGCAAATTTCAGCAAGGAAGCCCACTTAAATAAAATTCATTATTAGTGAAAGCAACCCAAAGGCAAATAAAATACACTAATGCCTTTTTACTCTACGAGCAACGAGTAAATATTATATAAAACGCCTAGCTCAAAATTAGTTTGGACACAAATATCGTTATTTACTTTACTAGAAGTGCGACACCATTTTATATTAAATATATTTGGTACGTCCAATACCGAAAGAAAGGCATGCGGTGGGCAGCTAGGGCACACAGCCTTCAGCTGAGCTTCTTTTTTGGTGCAGAAGATTCTTAACCAGCAAATGGACACCAAAAAAGGGTGGCTATTTAAGCTGTAATCGGACATTAGGAAAAAAGATTAAATCGAGAAACCAGCAGAAATATTTTTAAACAAATATCAGGCATATAAAAATATTAACAGACATGTGAACAACAAATGATTTGAGGAAAGGGATATAAATTTCAAGTTTAAATTATCAACTTGACTTACCATATTTTGTGCTGAATGGGGCTGCATGACTTTCGCTATATCTGATTGTGTTGATATAGTTGATATAGCTTGTTGCATTACGTATAATTAGTTAGTTAGTAGTATAGGAAATCGCCAAAACGGTCAACCTTGCCGTTCATTGACGATTTCTGGGGCGATTTTGGACCCACTTAATAAGTCGTCACACAACCATTTGATTCTACAAAGGACATTAATTAAAATAAATTTTCTTCTACATGTACTTGAAATAGTTTACCTGTTAATAGATTGGTGTATTACTTCCAGAATCGTAACTGAAATTCGAAAGGAAAAGCACGTATAAAAACAAGCAGCGAATATCTAAATATATTTATAAAGTACCCATTTATAGATGTTAATTGGCATAGTGACCATAGTGACAATTATTTTACTTTAATTTCTTCTGTTTTTACGTAAAAACAAACTTTTTCGAAGTGTTGAGTTCTAAATAATTTAATAACCAAATTTCCTCAACTTTTAGCAATCAAGTCTGTTCACTTTACATATCTGCCGACGTTGCTGTTGTGGCGATGGGACGTAAAATGTGCAAGAATGGGAAAAGCAAAATTATCACAAAGGTTCAGACGGTAAAAACGTGTCACTGAGTTCAACCGTATTTATATATTTAATCTGTTGCGGTGCATGACAACCACATGTCGGTACCTAAAATTTTATTTTTTCTCTTAACACGGTGAACTCAACTTGCACAAAATGTCATCATGTAATATTTGTTGCCCAGTCCTGAATATACCTCTCCAATTTACCTGAGCATATGTGCCTTAACAATGCAATTATTTACAAAAAAAATACGGCTAATATTGACTCCACTTTAAGTGTATTTTAAACAGCAATAAATCAAACCGTAATTCTAGTTTTATATCTTTACAATCAAAAACTATTTTTCTTGTTAATTTCCACATGCAATGTGTTCTGTTCACAGGCGCAGAGTTGCAGTAATTATTCGATATATCGATAGTATCATCCTTACCGATACCGACGGTAAGACAAATATACTTATATAGTCATGGCTCTGTCATGTTTTATGGAAATAATTTGATATTGTATCATAGAGTTTTAATATTACATTTTTTATTTGGGAAATCTAATATTAATTTAATAAATTGCTTACATAAAAATTTAATTTTGTTAGTTGGTTTTGGCTAATCCGAGAAAAATGTCGCTCTTATTATACCGTCTTCACACTGATGGTTAAAAACACCATGAACCATTACCAACGTAAACGTAAAAAAAATTGTTGTAGACAAATATCAAATAAATTGAAACAATTAAATTACTAAGATAATTTATAAAATGTTTAATATACTTAAAAACAAATAAAATTGTGATATCGACAAGTATCGAAGTATTGCCTGGCAATTTATTAAAATAATACTAGGACAGCTGTGCTTTTTTAGTAAATGTTCAGTATGTTAATCGTTATAGCCTAGTATCCAGATCGACAAACGATTACGCTAGCGTAAAAACTTTAATCTTTCCGGTGTGACCAAAAGTTTGAGAGTTCATCAGATTTAAGCGTGCTACGGTCGTACTGTCAATCAGCTGGATTTGTTGACAAGCAGTTAAAATTCAAATATGGTATTTGCGGGAAAGAGCCTTTAAAAGATATTATCAAATACCTTGGCAAGACAAGTCTGCCGCTGTACAAAGAAATTAAAAAACGATACAATTTAAATTTAACAGTTGTTTTTTTAGTTTACTGATAATTATTTGCTAATTTAAAGTTCATAGCTGCACTTTTATTGTGTTTTTTCGTACATTCTGGACCTAAAAAACATTTTGCTCTGACAAGAGGCACCCCAGATAGTATTAATTTTATTTTGTCCTCACATGTAAACACCTGCAATCGACTTTTGTGAGTTTTTTGAGTTTTTCCCTCCATTTCTTATAATGTTCAGTGAGAAGCGCACGCCAAAAGATTAAATTTTTTAATCTTTTCCGCTAGGGTTCACCCAAAGTTATTTTCCGCAGACTGGCAACGCTATGGAATTTTCTGGTATTTTTTTCGTCGATCAGGAGACCGACCTGAAAAAAAGGCCCGACGAAAAGTGAACGCCAGCTATTTGCCTCTCGCTCTCTCTCATGACTGGCGTACGGTTTTCGTCGATCTGGATACTAGGCTTATCCATCACTGAACAGATCTGTTTTGTATGTTAAGCTTATTCCTGTAGGTAATGGTAGTATTATTTGACTTCCCCGTTAACTGGTGACCTTGATTTAAAATTAAAAGAAGAGGGCCTTTGTAAAGTGTTAGCTATAAATTGCCTAACGCGATATTTGTGTTCGCATTCCATTGTCCACAGCTGTTGTCCGTCCGGATTTTGATACGTGTTATTGTTATTAGTGGTGATACCTACATACGATCGAGATGAAATCGACAAATTCTGACAAACATTTATTAAACACACCATTTTGTTTGTCTATCCTCCTATTATAAGCCTATGCAAGAACGAAAAAAAAAAAAATGATTAGTCCTATTTTTCAGATTGCTGATTGACAAACTTTATTTTGTTACAAGGTGCGAGGCGCGTTAATACCCCGTAAGGATGTCAAATTAAGAGCGATACTGCAAAATATTTTCACTTTCCACAGTGTAAGCGCGGTGTTTAATGTGGTGAAAAAGCATTACAGGACATGGAGTAAGCGGAAGAGAAATCTTATAAAAACACTGTTCTCTTAGGATGTACCAGGCCACCATTATTCGGATTTTTTGAAGTGTTTTTCTTGTTGTTTCTCTTAGGTATGCTGCCGTTGTGGTGCTTTTCTCCCTCGAATTCCGTGAGAGATGGACAGTTAGAAGGATTGTTGTAGATGGCTGCTGCCATTGTTGTTCTTTTCCTTGGCCACCAATGCTGGTGCTGATTTCTTGGTTGTTGTTGTGCTGCTGCTGCCTCTACAAGAACTGATTTCGCGTTGGCTTATCATGGATAAATCAGTCAACCTACTGGTAATGCTAAGACAGGACGTACGCGTGTCACAAAAAATATAACATAAAGAAAGTTTGCGGTTAAAGTTGTATAAGTATTTTATAGTTGTCATTAAAGGAGAGAAAGGTAATTTTATATTGACTTATTTGAGTCAATATATATTTATATTATTTTCTTTACGGGAAAAAGATAAACGGATAAAAAGAAAGAACTCAAGTTGTGCAAAGTTGTATAAAATGGAGCACAACCAATGTGCAAAGATGGACAACAAGAAGGAATTTAAATTGTGCTAAATTATATAAAAAATTATGTTAAAAATGTGCAAACATTCTAATTAGAATCTTTTCACTCTAAAGTTTAACATTAAACCATTCTTGTTGGTACTTCTTGGTTAAGCTTTTTCTTATTAGAATCTGTTCACTCCAAAGTTTAACATTAAGGTAAATGCTTTTGGTAACATTCGCTTTTACAGCTTTTTATTCTGTTAATTAACAGATGTAAAATATGGAAAACCCCGAAACGAATTTTCATTTATATCCATTTTCCAAAATAACAAGCAGACAAAAGCTGTTAGGTACAAAAATATTAGGACGAGCTTTTACTTTTTGGCTGAATAAAGCTGAGAGGTCCAAAACTATTTTTATAGCAAAAGGATTATTGCTAATAAATTAATTTCAAATAAATAAATTATTTTCTTTTTCTTGCACTAGAACATTTCCACACATTTTTTAAATTTAGACTTTGTAATTAAAACCAGAGATTAAATAATAATTGACTGAACTTAAAATAAATATTTTACTTTGTAGAAAATGGAAAAATAAGTATTATAAAATTTATATTTCCTTTTTTAAGTTCCGACTTTGTAATTGAAACAAGAGACCAAATAATAAATAAAAAATTAATTGTAAATAACTAAATTACTTTCTAGAAATGGAAAGTTTAGAGTTTATAATTGAAATAAGAGTTCAAAATAAATATATTTCCAAACAACATTATTACATTAGTCAGGATCAAGATCGATTTCCAAAAAATACAAAAATTAGAAGGAGATATCTTTCAACTCCAGAATGGTATATTGTCAAGCCCACAACGTTTCTTACTCGCGACCCGAGCCTTTCGTGATCATCAAAATTGATTGTGGAGAGCTGAAAGGTGTTTCGTCCGCTGGCAAAAGCTCTTCCCATCAGAGTCCTGTAAACGGCGTGTCCTAACATATCACGCCTCCACTTCGTCCATCTCCTGTTTGTACTGTCTGGTGTATACCCGCCCGGTAAGATGCATCAGTGGCTGGCTGCTGATCTTTTTGCGAATATTATATCTCTTACAGGGGAGCAGGTCGTAAGTAATTGACCTAACGAATTGGAATTAATGAAATTATGGTCCTTTCGGTTCCAAGATCTTAGGATCTGCAAAATAGACAGATCAGTGGTCTCCGCTTACTTATTAAAAACAGAAAGTAGATTTTACCCACTTACCACTTGTCCCCAAATCGGCCTCATCATCTTGTGCGCCTCTTGGATTGCGACAATGGCAATGATGGTGAGAACAGTGGTTTTTTTTGGCGAAACGGCACTTGTCGCGGCCATTCGTTCTATGTGGAATTCGTTGACCATAAAGAAGAACGCGACTGTGTAATACAGCGGGTTTTTGAGACTCCTGAAAACACCTTGCTCTGTGTCTTCTTTATGGTCCTCCGAGCTCAGCAGAATTGCCACAACGCCCACCTCAGCTTGGTGCTCCTTGAAGAAAAAATTTTCAAAGCATATTCTTGCTCTAATACTGTCTTCCTCTTCACGGTTCACGCCTGCTTCGGCATCAGTTGTGTCCTTGTAGTGGGGTTCGGGTTCGCGGTGACACGTTCAAAGCAATCCTCCTTTTCTGAAACATTGAGCTTGTGTTGTTTTACTTAAAGTGGTTCTACTACTATAGTTTTCTTTTCGTGCAAGGCGGCGCTTTATTCCACACTACAGAAGAAAATACATACTTTTTACATCATTTTACCTGTTAATTCATTTCAACAAAACACTCGAGAAACGGGATTATTTTTTTAAAATTAATTTGTTTTTTTACGTGTATTTTTAATGTGCAATTTAAGATAGTTGCTCTTAAATTTTATCCACATTTACAACAAGTTCTAGCATATATAACAACAAACCAATCTGTAAAGTCCAAAATTGGTTAATTAAAACTTGAGCTAATATATGTAATAGAGAAAAAGTTGTCGTTTTAATTTGCTAAACTAGTGTTATCATTAACTTTATTTTATTTAATTTTATCAATAATTCAAAATATATCATATCCATATTTTTGAAACTGATAAACTGTATTTTAGTCTCTATTTTTAGCATTTACATAATTTGATAAAGATCCAGCAATGATAGGTATAAAGATGTACTTGCATTTTATTGTGCGGCTTTAAATTATTGTAAATAAGAAAAATTAAGTGCTTCTGTAAAAATGCAACTTAAGAAAGAAACCACCATTATAGTAGTCGTGATGGTTCTGTCCTGGAGTCCAGGGACCGACTTAAAGAGACCTACTAACGCACATGGTCAGGATACAGTGTCCGTTTCTCTGCCAGGTGACATAATACTTGGTGGGTTATTTCCCGTTCATGAAAAAGGTGAGGGTGCTCCATGCGGCCCAAAAGTATATAATAGAGGAGTTCAACGCTTGGAGGCAATGCTCTATGCCATAGATCGCGTAAACAATGACTCCAACATACTTCCTGGAATAACGATAGGGGTACATATACTCGACACCTGTTCCAGAGATACATATGCCCTCAACCAGTCGCTGCAGTTCGTCAGAGCATCTCTAAACAACTTGGATACGTCAGTGTTCGAGTGCTCAGATGCGTCAAGCCCACAACTAAGAAAAAATGCTTCGTCGGGGCCTGTTTTCGGAGTTATTGGTGGATCCTACAGTTCAGTTTCCTTACAAGTGGCAAACTTGCTCCGTTTATTTCATATTCCCCAAATATCACCAGCGTCAACTGCGAAAACGCTTTCGGACAAATCACGTTTCGACCTGTTTGCCAGAACAGTACCGCCAGACACCTTTCAATCCGTGGCACTTGTAGATATATTAAAAAATTTTAATTGGTCCTACGTATCGACGATACATTCGGAGGGATCTTATGGTAAGTCTCTAGGAAGCAGATTAAGATTCTATATTAAATTTAGACACTAATTGTAATATTAAAAGAACCGGGATTTAAAATAAATGATATTTTTTTTTATCGAATTAACCATAAAGTTGTTTAAACCAGAGGAACAAAATATAATTTTTTAACTATATGCGAAAATCAATTAATTGAAACAATATAAATATTTTATTGTCAAGACCCGTCAATGAATGACACATAACAAATTAACTTTGAAATTTAATACAAACTTTCTTTCAAAATGCATTACAGTAATCCGTTGTATTTTGTGTGTATTTTTAAGTAACTCAATGATTTCCATATTAATCCTACTTTTATAGCAGAATCCTTTATCTGTATTTTGAATAACTAGGTGAATATGGGATTGAAGCTTTTCACAAGGAAGCCACCGAACGTCACGTATGCATAGCAGTGGCCGAAAAAGTGCCTAGTGCCGCAGACGACAAGGTTTTCGACACAATTATCGGCAAACTCCAAAAGAAGCCAAACGCTCGAGGAGTCGTGCTGTTTACGAGGGCTGAAGATGCACGGCGGATTTTGCAGGCAGCCAAACGTGCTAATTTATCGCAACCGTTTCATTGGATAGCAAGTGACGGCTGGGGCAAACAGCAAAAACTACTCGAGGGATTGGAGGACATTGCGGAGGGCGCAATTACTGTGGAACTGCAGTCGGAGATAATTGAAGACTTTGATCGCTACATGATGCAGCTGACGCCAGGGACAAATCAAAGGAATCCCTGGTTCGCTGAGTACTGGGAGGATACGTTTAATTGCAATCTCGCACCCAGTTCGGAGCAACCAAAGTCGGCTGAATCAACTGAAGTAAAGGTCGGCATCAAGGCTAAAACGACTTGTGACGATAGTTTTCGGTTATCTGATAAAGTTGGGTAAGTTTTGGAATAGCTTGGCTTTTTATAATTTTAAAAGCAATTTGGGAAACGACAAACTAAATTAGAATCTCTCATCTTTCTTAAAAAGGTGAATGCTTTGAGCTCCTTAATGTGGTTTTAACTAAAAAAAAAATTTACCTTTTGATCAACAAAATAAATAACTTTTTTCTGACTGTCAATTTTTGGTTAATAATAATTAAGACGCGAAGTAATTATGATTTTTATTTTGAGAGGTATCACCAATGAAGCTTTACCCTCACTTCATATGACAACTACTATATGTGGCCATAATAAAAATCTGATGTGAACCGAAAAAGATCGATAAAAGAAAATAAGTGTGCATACCAAGACTTTAAAAACGACTTTAAATGGTTCAGGTGAAAGTAAGAAAACGAAAATGGTTCGTTCTTGTTGAAAATTAGCGTCGAACGACACCCAATTTGAAATAACTTCGATGTTCCGTTTAAAAGAGGTTTAAAACTAATTTTTTATGTCTAATCGAAAAAGAGACCTAACGTTTTCTTTTTTCTTTTCAATTTTCCACTCTTGTAAAGCAACAAAAACGACAACGTTATTCAGTTGACATTCTTTCAGTAAACATTCTTTTGGCAGACAGAGGGCCTACCCAATATTTTTTAAACTCCTATTTTAAACATAATTTTTATAGGGTATTATAATTTTGGTCAGAAGTTTGTAACGCAGTGAAGGAGACGTTTCCGACCCTATAAAGTATATATATTCTTGATCAGGATCAATAGGGGAGTTGATATAGCCATGTCCGTCTGTCCGTCTGTTTCAATACCGTTTGCGAGCTCAGTTTAAAAGCTAGCGATCTGAAACTTTCACAGTCGTCCTAAAACATGTGTACGCAGATCAAGTTTGAAAATCGATCGGTTGTCTATATCCTATAGCTCCCATAGGAACAATCGGATATATCTTGCAAGAATTGATGATATTTCGCGCAGTGTAAAAGCTATTGACATGAATCTTTCCAAATCCTATTTTTTTATGCATACCTTGATCAGGGTAAAAGCACGTGACGATCGGACGTCTATATCCTATAGCTCCCATAGGAACAAAAGGGTAAAATCGGTTAAAATTGAATGATTTTTAGGATATTTCGCGCAGTATACAAGCTATTGACATGAATCTTTCCAAATCGTATTTTTTTATGCATACATTGATCAAGATAAAAGCGCGTGTTGATCGGACGTCTATATCCTATAGCTCCCATAGGAACAATAGGGTGAAATCGGTCCAAATTTGATGATTATCAGAATATTTCGCGCAGTGTTTAAGCTACTAACATAAATTTTTCCAATTCTATTTATTTACGCATATCTTGATTAGGGTAAAAGCGCTTGCCGCTCGGAAGTCTATATCTTAAAGGAGATAGGAAAAATTGTTAAAGGCTGCGAAAGTATCCCTTTTTTTCTATTTGTATATAACATTTTTGCAGTATAAAAGCAATTGACTTGAAACGATGCAAATCTAGTTTACTTATGTATACCTTATTCCTTTCGCTACTTTTTCACTTTTAGCAATTTCGGCAAAGTCTGCAAGGGTATTAAAACTTCGGCTTGCCGAAGTTAGCTTCCGTCCTCGTCCATAATAAAATAGGTTCAAAGGCATAGATAATAATTAATATTTAGGAAACAAATATATAACAAATATATAACAAATATATAAGAAAATTAACGGTTTATAAGTTATTCAATTTCCTCATATGACATCAAAAGGATGTATATAAATGCATAAAACACACTTCTAAAATCAAACCAAAAATACCTCATAATCATTGGTTTTATTTAAATTGAATACCGTTGCAACTGCTATAAAAATTAAAGATTTTACGATGCTTAAAAATAATGAAACTAAGTCGATTTTTTAATGAATTTGTACCGTTCCAATGGCACCGTCTATATTGCTAGGAAATACTATATCACTGAGTAAACGCATATAAACAACGAAGTAATAATTATATTTTTCCCGATTGAACTTATATACATCATTTAACAGAAAAACTCTTAATGAGGCTATAATTCGATTTATTCAATTTTTTTATATTTTGCTAAGAAAATGAATCCTTTTGCGTGGGTCCAAAGTCCGTTTGTTTACCCTTTTACCTGAATTAAATTTATTTTTTATTTTCATCTGAAATCTTATAGTTTAATTAATAATTTATGACTATTTTTATTTAGTTTTATCCCATGCAAACCAAAGTTACACTAAAACAAAACCAAAAATTTAGCGATTTAATGGTGTGATAAGATTATACAAATGAGAAATAATTTTGAGACCAAGACGGTAAATTTGATAGGTTTCAGAAAGAATCACTCATATGACAAATCTATAATAATAAAATAATATACAAAAGCTATCCTTAAAATATAAAAATGTTGTAGGCAGGGAAAAATACTAGATACTAAGAGCAACATGTTAAGTAATATGTAAAATTACACAACTGTTTTTTTAAGTGCAAATTTTAAATGCTATATACATACGTGTTTTTCGATTTTTTCGTAACTGGAGGAGTATGCTTATTTGTATTTGTATAATTAAAGAGTTGTTCGGTGCTTATTTATAACAAAAACATAAATTAGTATTTTCTTACAGTTATACTAACAGACCAAATTTTGACTTTCGCATACTCACGACTGTCATTTGTCTTACAAAATGATTGACAAGAGGATTTAGTTTAAAATTACTTACTTGCATGCAAATATAATACAATAATTTATAATATATATATTTTTTGGTTTTATTACAGTTTAATATAAATATTAAGTTAACAATAATAAGTTAACAATAATAATAAAATAAAAACCTATTCCTGCCGAAAACGACAAACCACAGTATGCACAAAAATGCAATAACTATTTATATTTCCATCACTACTCTTCTAAAACGTGGCTTTAGGACTTGCTTGCGCTCCAAACTTCGCTTTTAACACACACCAGACTTAATTCAATGCATATGACAACATAACAAATATGATATGAATAAACTATTTTTTGTATTTACAGATATGAGCAAGAGTCCAAGACTCAATTTGTTGTGGATGCTGTATACGCATTTGCCTATGCACTTCATAATTTGCATTATGATCGTTGTAACTCACAAAGCGACCAAACTTCTGAACAACGAAGGCACCAACATAGCGAATCTGTGTGGTATCGAAAAGTATCAACAGATTCAAAGTCTCAAGCGTGCCCCGATATGGCCAATTACGACGGAAAGGATTTTTACAACAATTACCTATTAAACGTCTCTTTCATAGGTTGAGTAAATCTTTTTTATTTTAATATATTTATTATTAACTCTCTTTATTCCCTCATGAAATTTAACCTGCAAAGATCTGGCTGGGAGCGAAGTGAAATTTGATCGTCAAGGCGATGGATTGGCCAGATATGATATTTTGAACTATCAACGTCTGGAAAACTCTTCGGGGTATCAGTATAAAGTATGACAATATTATCCATTTTCATCGATGCACTTATAGCTCTTATGCAACATATTTTCCATAACTTATATAACAATCTATACATTCCAAACGCAGTGGTCCAAAACTATCAATAGAAGTACCATCGATTTATCTTTTGTGATTACAATGATTTTTTTTGAATTGCTAAAGCCTAGTACTCAGATCGACAAAAGAGTACGCTAGCGTAAAAAAATTTAATCTTTCCAGTGTGACCAAAATTTCGGGAGTTCATCAGAATTAAGCGTGCTACGGTCGTACTGTCAATTCAGTTAAAATTCAAATATCGTATTTGCGGGCAAGAGCCTTTAAAGGATATTATCAAATACCTTGGCAAGACAAGTCTGCCGCTGTTCAAGGAAATTGAAAAACAATACAATTTAAATTTAACAGTTGTTTTTTTTTAATATTGATAATTATTTGCTAATTTAAAGTTCATAGCTGCACTTTTATATGTTGTTTTTGTACATTCTGGACCTAAAAAACATTTTGCTCTGACAAGAGGCACCCCAGATAGTATTAATGTTATTTTGTCCTCACATGTAAACACCTGCAATCGACTTTTGTGAGTTTTTTGAGTTTTTCCCTCCATTTCTTATAATGTTCAGTGAGAAGCGCACGCCAAAAGATTAATTTTTTTAATCTTTTCGCTAGGGTTCACCCAAAGTTCATTTCCGCAGACTGGCAACGCTATGAAATTTTCTGGTATTTTTCGTCGATCTGAGTACCGACGTGAAAAAAAGGCCCGACGAAAAGTGAACGCCAGCTGTTTGCCTCTCGCTCTCTCTCATGACTGGCGTACGTTTTTCGTCGATCTGAATACTAGGCTTAAAGCCTAGTATCCAGATCGACAAACGAGTATGCTAGCGTAAAAACTTTAATCTTTCCAGTGTGACCAAAATTTCGAGAGTTCATCGGATTTAAGCGTGCTACGGTCGTACTGTCAATCAGCTGGGTTTGTTGACAAGCAGTTAAAATTCAAATATCGTATTTGCGGGAAAGAGCCTTTAAATGTTATTATCAATCACCTTGGCAAGACAAGTCTGCCGCTGTACAAAGAAATTCAAAAACAATACAATTTAAATTTAACAGTATTTTTTTTTAATTTACTGATAATTATTTGCTAATTTAAAGTTCATAGCTGCACTTTTATTGTGTTTTTTCGTACATTCTGGACCTAAAAAACATTTTGCTCTGACAAGAGGCACCCCAGATAGTATTAATGTTATTTTGTCCTCACATGTAAGCACCTGCAATCGACTTTTGTGAGTTTTTTGAGTTTTTCCCTCCATTTCTTATAATGTTCAGTGAGAAGCGCACGCCAAAAGATTAAATTTTTTAATCTTTTCCGCTAGGGTTCACCCAAAGTTATTTTCCGCAGACTGGCAACGCTATGGAATTTTCTGGTATTTTTTTCGTCGATCAGGAGACCGACGTGAAAAAAAGGCCCGACGAAAAGTGAACGCCAGCTATTTGCCTCTCGCTCTCTCTCATGACTGGCGTACGGTTTACGTCGAAGTGGATACTAGGCTTAAATCAGAAAAATTATTTGTAGGATAGGTCTTTTAAACTATATTCTTAAATACCTTGGCAAGAAAAGTCTCCCGGTGTACAAAAAATTAAAAAAAAATTTTTTGGATATAATTAAACGTGTAAAAAAATGGGAAAACAAAATTATAATTTTGTTGTTTCTTAACATATACCCATATACTCTGACATATAGTAATTTTAACGATTTCAGAATTATAACATATATTTAGCTGCAATATAAACGATGAAAGGAAACCACCTTTCGTTTCCTTTTTGGTTTTATCTAAGAAAAAAAATGTCGCCAGATTCTATATCCTCCAATCGGTACGGCAGATACTCAGATCGACGAAATAATAACTGAAAAATGAAGAGCGTCGCCGCACTGCTAAAATGAACTTTTGGTGAACATTCGTCAGTCCCTAGTGAAAAAATTGAAACTTTTAATCTTTTGAAGTGGCTGTTGTTGAGCAGAGTGTTTCTTAGTTAAAACAAATTTTTTATGAATTTTAACTATTTGTCAAAAAACAAAAGCACACTCAGATTGATGAACTCCTTAAAATGAAATGATTAAACTTCTTCGAGAGTCGAGCCTTGACTGATTTGATTTCATTCTTTTAATATTTTTCAGGTTGGAAGGCTATTTTTTCATTTTCGAGAAATATTAGAACTAATTTCGTAACTATAGTATTTAACAAGAGAGAACGCTATAGTCGGGTGCCCCGACTATCAGATACCCGTTACTCAGGTAAAGGGAGTGCGAGGGAGATGGAGATAGAAACTTTGATCACATTTCGATAGGTATTGATAAACACAATAAAACTGCATTTTTACTTTTCCGAAATATTTAAATTTTTAAAATCGTATATAAGCGATTGTGGGCGTTAAAGGGGGCGTGACACCATTTTGAAACAAACTTGCGCTGCGTAGGAACTTCTAAAATCTACATGCAAAATGCCAATCTTCTAGCTTTTATAGTTTCCGAGATCTCAGCGTTCATACGGACAGACAGACAGACGGACAGACAGACGGACAGACAGACGGACAGACAGACGGACAGACAGACCGGCAGACAGACGGACAGACGGATCGACTCGGCTAGTGATCCTGATCAAGAATATATATACTTTATAGGGTCGGATACGCTTCCTTCTAGCTGTTACATACTTTTGCACGAATACAATATACCCTTTTACTCTACGAGTAACGGATATAATTATTATATTGTATAGAACATAGGTCCTCAAGAACATAACGTATTACATTTTTTTTGTATTTGTAAGCTTTATGTTTTTTATTATATAATATTATTTTTTATATTATATAAATATTATATATATTTTCACGTTTTAGCTCTCTTTGACTCTATTTTTTGTGACCATGTAAAATATCGAAGTGTGAAGCCAAGGGTATTAGAGCCCCGATTGACTTCAAGTATGTAGTAGCAAGGAGAAACGCTGTAGTCGAGTGCCTCGACTATAAGTCACCCATTACTCAGCTTACAAATTTTTAAACAAATATGCCCCAGATGATAGATGCAATCGGGTTTCAGGTAGCACCATCGGCCAAACTGCAGTGTCTACACGGCAGTAACACGCATCCTGCTGACAGATCTCTCAACTATATATACTCCAGTTTTTAAATATTCAGGGACTTGATTACTAAAACCAACCTAATAACTTTGTTGTTGATTCGATTTCCCAAAATACACGAAAAAAAATTCGAGATTTTTGGGGCTTAACCTTTTTTATCCGTATATGTTTAAAAACAACGAATTCACAATTTTTGAATTTATGTTTCCGATTGCTTTAATGGCAGCTAGCAGATTAAAGCCGCAAATCTGAAAATGTAAATGTACACCTTGGAGTATATTCGTATATGATTGAAAACGAGGAAGTTATAATAAGTTTCAATCAGTTTCATCCAGATATCCTTAAATCTGAGAAATTAGTTTGCGTGGAAACGGACGGACGTTATTGCATAACATTTGTTCGAGTTAAAACTATATGTTTTATGCCATCGGGCTAGCCTTATCGAAACTTATTTGAATCAAAAGTTTAAGATCTAGTAATTTAATTTAATTTTGTTTGTCGGCGACCTTTGATGTATGTTTAAATTTTTTGAGTTTTTCCGGCTCGAGGTCAACAATTGACAAATTTTTTAAATAAAAGTTTTTAAATTTTATTTTTTGTTCTTTCCAATATATTTCGGTTGCACTTCGGCAACCGTCTTCAGGGCAACTATAATCAACATAAACACATAAAATAACATAAATTTAGACAAAAAAAAACAAAGCTTTAAAAATTATTACACCTACATAATTTGACAGTACGACCGTAGCACGCTTATCTGAACTCAATCTGATGAACTCTCAAAATTTTGGCCACACTCGAAAGATTAAAGTTTTTACGCTAGCGTAATCGTTTGTCGATCTGGATACTAGGCTTAACTTAATAACAACTAGTATTAATCTCCACGTCCGACGGTGCAGACGTGTAAAATTATGTAGGTGTAATAATTTTTAAAGCTTTGTTTTTTATTGTCTAAATTTATGTTATTTTATGTGTTTATGTGGATTATAGTTGCCCTGAAGACGGTTGCCGAAGTGCAACCGAAATATATTGGAAAGAACAAAAAATAAAATTTAAAAACTTTTATTTAAAAAATTTTTCAATTGTTGACCTCGAGCCGGAAAAACTCAAAAAATGTAATTTAATTTATTTTTTTTATCAAAGAAAGTTGTAAATTGTAACTTTACTTACTTTAACCAAATGTTGTAGGTTATTGGCAAATGGTTTAATGGCTTACAACTGAATTCTGAAACAGTAGTCTGGAATAAGGAAGCTGAGCAACCAACTTCGGCATGTTCACTGCCATGTGAGGTTGGAATGATAAAAAAACAACAGGTATATGGAATTTTATTTAATAGATAGTTATATTTTGCACAAATATTTTATTTTATAGGGAGATACCTGTTGCTGGATATGCGATAGCTGCGAGTCCTTCGAATACGTATATGATGAATTTACCTGTAGAGACTGCGGTCCAGGACTTTGGCCCTATACTGACAAGCTGTCCTGTTACTCTCTAGATATCCAGTACATGCGATGGAATTCATTATTTGCTCTCATTCCAATGGCCATAGCAATGTTTGGTATTACAGTGACAATTTTAGTTATAGTCCTATTTGCAAAAAACCACGATACTCCACTGGTAAGAGCTTCAGGTCGAGAGCTCAGCTATACCCTGCTATTTGGTATACTTGTCTGTTACTGCAATACTTTTGCTCTGATAGCTAAGCCAACAATTGGGTCCTGTGTGTTGCAGAGGTTTGGTATTGGGGTTGGCTTTTCTATTATATATAGTGCTTTGCTCACGAAAACCAATCGAATATCACGAATCTTTCACTCTGCATCCAAGTCAGCCCAACGCCTTAAGTATATTAGTCCACAATCACAGGTGGTAATAACAGCATCTCTGATCGGTAAGTTATAAAATTTAACTAATCCCAGCAATCAATTTAAAACAATTGTGTAACATTTTAACTTTTAAGCTATACAAGTACTAATTACAATGATTTGGATGGTAGTTGAACCACCTGGAACACGCTTTTATTACCCTGACCGAACGGAAGTGATACTAAAGTGCAAAATTCAAGACATGTCCTTCCTTTTTTCCCAGCTATATAATATGATTCTCATTACAATTTGCACTGTTTATGCAATTAAAACAAGGAAAATTCCTGAAAACTTTAATGAGTCAAAGTTTATTGGATTTACCATGTACACCACATGTATTATCTGGCTAGCCTTTGTGCCCATTTATTTTGGAACTGGAAATTCGTATGAGGTATGTACTAGATTTACATTGGAAGCGAAGCTCTTTGTTTTGGCGAAGTCTAAAATAACACTATTATACAAATTTTGACCTTGAAATGATAAACTGGAATAAAATGATGCATTCTAGTATACTTCAAGGTGCCAAATCAGAGTCTGGTCAATAAAATGCTCCATTTTGATTCCGAGAAGTAGCACTTCAAGATCGCTGTATTTTACAAACTGGCCATAATTTATCCTATAAACCGGAATCATGAAGCACCAAACAATGTTATAGTTAATATTAGTCAAAACTCAAGTGAAAACTGATCACACCTGAAATTTGTTTAATTGTTTAACAACTTAAAATAATAATGGGTTACAAATGACCTAAAATGTATGTCCCTTAAATATTTCTTTTCCGCCAAAAAAAATCTTGTGGCAAACAAGGCATTGCTTTTCAAGTTTAAAATGTATTACGGAGTACTCTAATGTATCATTCATTTTACCGACACAAGACAATAATGTCTTGCGTCATCAAATGCTTGAAATGCTGTTGCTCTCAATTTAATTTAGCATAAGGTTAAATAACAATATTACTAATAAAACCGGATTATATTAACTTCGACAAGCCTAAGTTTAAATACCCTTGCAGTTTTTACAAAACGACTACATTTCGATGTCTATGCCTATATTACTAAAAACAATGCATGTAGCTATTTGATATTGTTGTCCGATTTTGACAAAACTAAAAGCTTAATTCTTATATATTATACTTTATATCAAAGGGAGCTATATGAAATAGTCGCCCGATCCGACAGACGGACATGCAAACTTTTGACTGAAATTATAATACCTTCTGCAAGGGTATAAAAATAATAGTTACAATTGGTCGGAAAATTATTATTTATATTTTTTTATTCGTCATGGAAAAAGTTTAAAACATAAATAATAATATATATTATATTTTTTGCATAAATATTAGATGACCATAAGAAAACGGAACGCTGGGCTCCACAGCACTTTCCCATTTATTTTTCGTTGTTTAACTTTAATGAAAGTCACAAATAAATATATGTGAGCATTTATGGCCCTATATTTATTTGTTTTACAAATATACTTCTTATTTATCGGTTTCAGAATAATTGTTTTAGAATATTTAAATATATTTAGGACCAAGATGTTTAATGATCTATAATTACTGTTGCTCACTAGCAATTTGGTTGATTGAGCTTCAACTTAAAGCCACTGTTTCTTTTCGTTGATTGATTTGATAGTTGATGCTGTTTTTAGGATCAGTACGAACGACCCAAAGCTTTCAGGATATCTCATGGTCTGTATTTAATATGGATAATTTCCGAAAATCTAAAGTAAATAACTTAAATGGCGTGTAATAGATAATTTTTTAACCTTTAAATTAAGAAATACGCTTCTTCAGAAATTTGTTCTATTAGCAAAGACTAATATACGATTATATATTTTCTATGCCCCTTACAATTGCTCTAAGAGTATTGCGTTCGTATATTCGAAGCATATTTCCCATATTTTTAAGGATTAATATTTTTTCTACCTTAAAAAAAAATCAAGATCGTTTCCAGTATTATAATGATTTGATTGCCAGTTCGTTTGAAACGATTAACAGCCTCATGTTCTTGTTATCATATGCAATACACTTGGGTTTCAGATGCAATAATGTCAATTTTGTATAATGCACGTGCCAGCTCTCAAAAATGTTCGGTGTGAAAGCAAAGGCTTTAAAACTTTGTCTTCCCGGTGAAAATTATTTTCAAATCTAACGAAATTAAAATGATAATGTGTAATGCTTGTAGGCACAACTCTGGCATAACATCTGCTCGGTACGAGAACCAACACAGCTCATACTTAATGAAAGCTCCTTAAACAATACAGTTAATAAAATTCTAACCTTTCGACCAAAAGCCCAATTCACCTATAAAACATGTTATTTCTTTAATGCAACTATAAGCTTAGCTTATAATGCTGACATATATAAATATGCGTATTAATGTTAACCTTATGTACATATTAAATACTTAATGATTTCTCAAAGAAGGAATTGTATTTTTCAGGTGCAAACTACTACGTTGTGCATTTCAATAAGTCTGAGTGCATCAGTGGCTCTTGTATGTCTATATTCACCCAAAGTATACATCCTCGTCTTCCACCCGGACAAGAACGTCCGCAAGTTGACCATGAACAGCACCGTCTATAGGCGATCGGCAGCAGCTGGAGCTCAGGGTGCGCCGAGCAGCTCCGGATACAGTCGTGCGCAGGGAGCAGGCACATCCGTGCCGACAGGAGGGGCGGTAGGTACCACAGCGTCTTCAAGTGTCCTTCCAACGCAAAACAGCCCCAACCTTGAGGAAGTCACAGGCCAAAAAGCTGTCGTGCACAAAACCAGTGAATATAGTAATGGTGAATTTCTGCGGGAAGAAGGCGAATTTGTTGAGCCAATGCCAATATGCAACCAAGTAGAAAATTAAGAAATATCACACTTTAATATTTATCAACAAGCGACGCTTTTTAGAAAAGACTACTTACCTTATAGAAATATACATTTTAATTTTAGATTATACTTCCTCGGTTAAATACGAACCGACATTTTCTAATATCGCAATTAAAGTAGTATAATGTCCATATACTGGATTAATTTAGTGTAAGGGAAATCTATAGAGATTTAAAAGTTAGTGCTCCATTTCACCAAAATAGGTAGTTAAAGAGATTATTAACTGCAGCGGGTAGTGAATTCGTATAAATGATCAAAATTAATCTGGTTAAGAAGTATGTAGAAAGAAGCATTTCCAACCCTATTAATATTTATACATATTCTCGATCCGAATCATTAGCTACGTCTTCTCGACTCTTCGTATGTCCTTATAAATATCAAAATCACGGAAACAATTAAAGCTTAAGTTGGGATTATAATAGGAAGAGGGATTTGACAATCAAATTCCTCCACTTTGTTCCTTATAAGCATCATTAGCAAGTTTTTTTTTTTTAATTAACGAGCTCAAATAAAAATTTGAAATATCTACAATTTATCCACCCTAAGACAGTGAGGGGTTTATTTATAATTTCTAACTGGATGTTATGCTTCGGGCAATTTACTGGATAATTATCACTTTAGAGGTGCTTTCTGTAGAAAGTCACTTAGTTTTACACTAGCTGAAAGCCAAGTCATTCCCACACTTTTAAATGATTTTGGAGACTTATGATAATTTATAATGAAAAGAAGTAAAATTCCGTTTTTTAATTGAACTACCTAAAATATTTAAAAAAAAACAGGTAGTGGTTTTTCCATGTGATTTTAGTTATTTAAAATGTGGCTATTAAATCAGACTAAGATCAGATTAGGCTAATTTTTAATTTATTTGGTACTTGTTCTTAAATAATCAAAAGAACTATGAACTCCCTAGAACTTTGAATTTAATTCCCTGATGCTTATTTCACTACTTCTGTTTGGTTTTATGTTTCATGTATGAGTATTCTTACATATCATTTAAATTTTTTGATTTATAAGAGTTTTAAAATCCATTTAGCAAGACCATTATAGAGGGTAAGAACATCTAATAGAAATAATATAGTTAGAACCGTATAGTTAACATGCATTATACATACTTATCTCAGCTATCATTATTTCTCTGGTTCATACAAATCTAAAAAAACGCATAGTTATGCTGAAAACTAAAAAGTAAAGTGAGAACCTGAAAGTCGTTTTATAGCATATTACATTTTTGTTATAGCTGCAAGGGGTAATTAATTTGTATAACAAGAATAGATTTAACAATTTGTAGAAGGGATGGTGATGTGTTTTGTAAATGACCAGTTGTATATACGATTAATTGTGGGGCTCAAATTGTTGTGTTGTTATTTTTGTTGTTTTTACACGCGTTCCTAAGAAAATATGACGGCTTAAGGACTTTCGATTAAGGAGGCTAAAAAAAATTGCATTCAAAAATTTAAAAAGATTCTTAAATTACATTTAAGTTATAATTAAGCTTTATAATGGTGCTTAATTTAACAAAGTTGTCAATTTTTGTTGAGCTAGTAATTGGTTTTATATTTTTCATTAGATGAAAATTCTTTTTAGCTTAGGTCAATTAAAAGTTGAATAATAGTATAGTATAGTAGGAAGAAAGTTATGCCGATTTGGCCGGATATTTCCTTGTTGGAAATTACCAGACCTGAATTAACCTGAAAATAAAAATGTTTTGGTATAACAAATTTTTAATAGGTATTTAGCGTAATCTAGAAACAATGTAGCAATGCAAAATTGTGAAATTCAGAAAATTTTTCGAATGTTATAGCCCAATCCCCAAAATATATTATTTAAACAGGAGCGCCATAAGAAAAAATTTGACCATAAAAAAAGATAAAAATAAACATTTTATCAATATTTAGTCAGTTTTTGAAGCTTTAACTCATGACTTATTAGGTTATTTTAATAAAAAATAAAAAATGGAATGAAAATTATAACTTTGTTGTTTCTAATACTCCGAGTTTTAGTCATTCAACAATTTCAAAATACCGGCTTTATTTTTTTACAAATCTGACGACTATATCAGCTGTAATAGAAACTATCGAGAAATGTATCATAAGATCGAACTTCATTACTTCAAGGAAATATGAAATATTTTAGTTTTAACAGCTGCAAGGGTATATATACTTCGGCATCTTTAAGTTTACTTTCTTTTTTGTTGTGTTCAAATATTAATAGATTAAAGGTGTTTTAACTTTAACAGATTTTTACCATACGACTTAACAACCAAATTTTAATTTTAAGCAAACCTCCCATTGGTTTGCCACTGACATTAGTTAAATGCCAAACAGTAGCATGCACATTCAATATGTGGCACTAGATTTAGGCTTTAAGACTCAGAAGTTCTCAAAATTCGATCTCGATTTGGTTCGCAATAGTCAAAACTGTTATAGGAAAAATGGTTTTTAAAGTATGTTTAGTAAATGTAATTACACGTTAAGCCAAGATGTTATTCGTTATTAAAAGTTACAAACTAATTTAAAGCCATTATATTATCGTATTTGTACATACACATTTCCATTAATACATGTTAGTCGTAGATAAGCCCACCTTTGTAATAAAAATTAGATAGTTGTATACACGTTAATTAACTTGACGATATGCAGTTAGCCAAAGATCAAATTTTAAATTAAATGATCAAAATGTAAACCAAATTGTAAAATATTTCAAAAAATTGAATTTTTAAATTTTATTTTTTTCTAATTTTTTCACAAAATTGTATTGGATTTTGATTGTCAGACGTACTTAATACAATTTAAAAACAAGTTTAGGAATTTCACTGCCATCAGGCGTTTAGAATAAACCTAAACCTAAAAAATATTTTTAAATATTTAGCTCAATGATTAATAATGAAAATGTACTTTCATGTGTATTTCTAAACATTATCTAAGTACAACAAAATTAGAATTACTTTATGAACAACATGTAGTTGGAAACATATACATTTTAAAGTTAAGTTATCAATTAAATTGTAAACAATAAACTAGTATAATTAACGTTTCCTGATATTCCTATATGATTATCATTCCTTGTGATTGCTTAATGTTTAGGTATTTCCTACGCAGACTGACATATGGGCATTAAATTATGAAAAGATAAGATGCATTTTTACGTCTGCACTTCCAAATAAAACTATTGGCCGTTGTAAAATTATACTTTTCTCATATTTTTATACTCTTTCCGAGTATAACAGTTTCAGCCACAAGTTTGCGGCGTAGCGCAGGTTCTTGATCAACATCACCAGGAGACATGGCCATTCCGTCTGTCCGTTTCTACGCAAACTAGTTTCTCAGTTAAAAGGCTATCTATATGAAAATGTCCGAAAAGTATTTCATTATTGCAGGTAATAAATAAGCCGGAAAAAGCATGGTCGGACCACTATATAATACCATAAAAATAATAAAACAATGTATTTATAACTTTCTTTCTTTTTAAAATATAGTTTTTTCTTTAGGTTTCAAAAAATTCGGACGACTATATTTTATAGTCGCAGCAGTATGAGCGATCGGAAAATTTTAGTTTAATTGATTAAACTTAAATATAGTAATTTCGTGGAAAATAATTTTTTTTTCAGCTATTAGCAAGAATATACAAACTTCGGCATTCAGAAGTTCGCTTCCTTTCTTGTTCAATATTCGAAACCACTTGCTTGTACCATATACATAATTATTTATTTAATTTTTTGGTAATTTTTGTTTTGCGCCTTAACAAGCCTGCGTCTCAAAACAATATTTTATATTATTTTACACTCAATAAAATGTTCATACTATTATATCGTGAGGTAATTGGGAAGTATTATATTTTTAAACGTTTTTCCGTCCCCAAGCGTAGTTAAAAGAAGGCTTAAGGTCTCAGTGTTCACTACTCTGATTAAGCCTAATAAACGTTGCGGTAAAACAAATGTATAGTCAATCCGTATTTTTATACCCTTGCAGAGGGTATTATAATTTCAGTCAAAAGTTTGCAACGCAGTGAAGATTGAATGAAGGTATATTCTTGATCAGCTTCACCAGGAGAGTCGATCTAGTCATGTCCGTCCGTCTGCTTAAAACTTTCCAAAAATTTGTCTTTCTATTGCAGGTAGTATATATGTCGGAACGAGCCGGATCGGGCGACTATATCATATAGCTGCCATATATCCGAACTATCGGAAATGCCATAACTTTGGTGTTTTTAAAGTTAGGAAGTTGGGTTTTTCTATGGGTTTTATTTTTGGCCAACCAATATAACTTACAGAAAATTCTGCAAGAGTATATCAACTTCGGCTCCGCCCGAAGTTAGTTTTCCTTTCTTGTTAACAAGAGAAAACCATCAACTTTATTTTAAAATTGATTAATAACATTACCTTAAAAATAAAGAAATCAGCTGTGCTATCTTAATTTAGGAGAAAAGTGTCCAGTGCAGACCTCGCCATAAAATCAGTACCAAAAGGTAAGTTAAGTGATATTCATGCAGGATATTCATACTATAGATTGTCGTTTTAAAAAAAATTGTATAATCAAAAAAATGGTAAAATTTTGTAGTTTCGCACAAACTATAGATGTCCACCTACATAAAAGAGAATCGCATTTTTTAACTTTGGTGTTTTAAAAGTTAGGAAGTTGAGATTTTTTATGGGTTTTTATTTGGCCAATCAATCCGACCTACTAAATTTCATACGGACCGGCCACTATATCCATATAACTTTACGATCGGCAATGCCATAACTTTGGTGTTTTTAAAGATAGGAAGTTGGGATTTTTTATGAGTATAAAGAGTCCATCATAAAAATTTTGAGAATATAATTTACAGAATATTCAGCAAGGGTATATCAACTTCGGCTCCGCCCGAAGTTAGCTTTCCTTTCTTGTTCAAATGTATATCTTATTTAATTATATTAAGCACAATTTGTGTTCTAGGAAGTAATAGATGCTTTTTTTCGGGAAGGTAGCCTTTTTACGTAACGAGGCCCCTTGCCTCCGTTTGCGAACTGCCCTCCTCAGGAATCTTATGCAACACTTACAAAAAGACTTTATGTACTTTTCGATGACATATAAATTAACACATGATTATCACAAACAATTTAAAAATTGCCATAGGTGTAAGAAAACAAAAATAATTAAAATGTTTCTCATAAATTTGTACCCACCCTTAAACTGAAACAATCCCTTATGAGTAAATAGCTAACAGCTTAAAAATATTTCATTCGAAACAGGATCGTTATTATACCCTTGCAGAGGGTATTATAATTTAAGTCAATGTTTGTTTCCAACCCTATAAAATATATATATTCTTATTCAGCAGCAAGATAGTCACTTACTTCTTGTTAAAAAACTTGACCTGTTAGGTTTTCCAGTTGATCTCCTTAAATGGATTTCAAGTTATCTGAATGGCAGGTCACAAAGGGCAGGTCCTTTTTAAAAATTTAATTTCTAAAATTCTCCGTGTTAGCCATTTTACATTATTTATAAACGATCTTATCTTATAAATCATTCTCGCGTACTTATGTACGCAGATGATGTTAAGTTGTGCATGCAGTACACTCATACCAAAATTAAAGGCATCGCACCTTAAATTTTAGGTTAAATTTTTCTAAAATTTAGGCAAAAAACCCTAAAAACAAGAAAAACTTTTCTAAAAAATAGAAAAATATTTCTTAAAAGTAGCCCTAACCATAAATTTTAGGGCATTTTTTCTAAAAATTAGAAAATATGTGCCTACATTCATCATGATGTAATTTTTCATTCAGGATGTATGGACCTATGTATATTTATGTATGTGTATACATATGTACATATATGTCACAAAGTCACAAAGTTTGTATTAGTATTGCGCACTAATGAATTGCCAATATCGATTTCAACTGTAATTCTGTGGGGAAGAGAGAGAGAAATTGAGTACAATTATGATTTATTTCAGTTCTTAAGCCTAGTATCCAGATCGACAAACGATTACGCTAGCGTAAAAACTTTAATCTTTCCAGTGTGACCAAAAGTTTGAGAGTTCATCAGATTTAAGCCTGCTACGGTCGTACTGTCAATCAGCTGGGTTTGTTGACAAGCAGTTAAAATTCAAATATCGTATTTGCGGGAAAGAGCCTTTAAAAGATATTATCAAATACCTTGGCAAGACAAGTCTGCCGCTGTACAAAGAATTTAAAAAACAATACAATACAAATTTAACAGTTCTTTTTTTTATTTACTGATAATTATTTGCTAATTTAAAGTTCATAACTGCACTTTTATTGTGTTTTTTCGTACATTCTGGACCTAAAAAACATTTTGCTCTGACAAGAGGCACCCCAGATAGTATTAATGTTATTTTGTCCTCTCATGTAAACACCTGCAATCGACTTTTGTGAGTTTTTTGAGTTTTTCCTTCCATTTCTTATAATGTTCAGTGAGAAGCCCACGCCAAAAGATTAAATTTTTTAATCTTTTCGCTAGGGTTCACCCAAAGTTTATTTCCGCAGACGTGGCAACGCTATGGAATTTTCTGGTATTTTTTTCGTCGATCAGGAGACCGACGTGAAAAAAAGGCCCGACGAAAAGTGAACGCCAGCTGTTTGCCTCTCGCTCTCTCTCATGACTGGCGTTCGGTTTACGTCGATGTGGATACTAGGCTTTACAAGTAAAATCCGATAAGTATCTTATCAGAAAAAACTTATAATTTTATTCGTCCTTCGGTGGGATTCTCCCGCGCGTGAGTTATACATATATATAGGGACATTTCCTGCGATTTAGACCTACAATCCAATTTAGATAATTTTCAAAACTGGTGCCGAGATAATTTAATAAATTTATACGGTTTCAAGTTCAAGCTGATGACTTTTTATCGGGTCAATCCGATATACGCGACTTACACGTTAAGTGGCAGCTCTTTGGATAGAATAACCCTTGTAAACGATCATGGCGTTCTCTTGGACCCTAAATTAAAATTTTCTAATCACATTACGTCCATGGTTAATAAAGCCAGAGGAGTGCTTGGATTTATTAAAAGGTGGTCAAAGGAATTCGATTTAATTAAAACTTTATTTATTTCGCTAGTCCTCCCGATTCTGGAGTATGTGTCTCCCGTCTGGAGTCCACAATATTTAATACATATTGGACGTATTGAATCAGTACAATAAAACTTTAACTAGAAATTATATTCCCCTAATATTAAATCATTGTAGATCTAACTATGCCTTGCATGAGCCTTTCAGAGTATTAAGTTCTGACTATAATAGACTTTTTCCTATAATCTCAAATCTTGACACTCTTTCGCTCGTAAACCGATTAATACTAGCTTCATTGGTACAAAGTTGATCTTACTATTACTTTTTTCCACGAACTTTTACCTATATTTTCTTGGGATCGCCATCTTGATATAGCTTGTACTGCAGTTGGTTTGGATTTTGAGGGTTAAGCCTAGTATCCAGATCGACGAAAACCGTACGCCAGTCATGAGAGAGAGCGAGAGGCAAACAGCTGGCGTTCACTTTTCGTCGGGCCTTTTTTTCACGTCGGTCCCCTGACGAACGAAAAAAATACCAGAAAATTCCTTAGCGTTGCCAGTCTGCGGAAATGAGTTTTGGGTGAACCCTAGCGAAAAGATTAAAAAATTTAATCTTTTGGCGTACGCTTCTCACTGAACATTATAAGAAATGGAGGGAAAAACTCAAAAAACTCACAAAAGTCGAGTGCAGGTGTTTACATGTGGGGACAAAATAACATTAATACTATCTGTGGTGCCTCTTGTCAGAGCAAAATGTTTTTTAGGTCCAGAATGTACGAAAAAACACAATAAAAGTGCAGCTATGAACTTTAAATTAGCAAATAATTATCAGTAAATTAAAAAAAACAACTGTTAAATTTAAATTGTATTGTTTTTTAATTTCTTTGTACAGCTGCAGACTTGTCTTGCCAAGGTATTTGATAATATCTCTAAAGGCTCTTTCCCGCAAATACGATATTTGAATAATAACTGCTTGTCAACAAACCCAGCTGATTGGCAGTACGACCGTAGCACGCTTAAATCTGATGAACTCTCAAACTTTTGGTCACACTGGAAAGATTAAAGTTTTTACGCTAGCGTAATCGTTTGTCGATCTGGATACTAGGCTTTAATCCAAAATTAGATACGCTTGTTTTTAACTCGTTTTTTAAAATGTCCAAATAAAATTCTTTTGTCATCTCCAACGCCTTTGGATGAAATACAATGGTATGGAACCATTACAGAAAGCTTGCCAAACTTTACTGTTGGTATTATATTCTTCTGCTGAAAGGAAGAATTTGGCTTCCTCCAAACTTTGCTGGGTCCATCGTGATAGTATAACATTGTTTAGTTTCGTCACAAAAGTTATGTTGTCCCAGTACTCAACCGGCTTGCTAGCATGGGCAATAGAAAAGTTAAGACGTCTTGGGATATTGATAGCAGAAAGCAGGGGCTTCTTTCTGGCTACATGTTATTATGTTGAAATATGCAAATACTTGTGCGTTTTCAAAACTTTTCGTACAATCTCATGGCTCACTGTTTTATGGTAATCGTTTTTTAAGTCCAATGCCAACTGTCTTAGTGGCGTTTGCGGATTCAAGTGATAATTTTTGAATGATCCCGTCCGGTAATAATTTCAGGTAGTCCTCCAGAGCCGGAATGCTGCAGACGATTTTCTTTTTCTGCAAGATTTATTATTTGGTATGGTGTCCTTAATTTAATACCAAAGGCTTCTGGCAAACCAATTGTATTAACTGAACTCATAAAAATCAGTTAGTTTCCCAGGCATTGTTAATAACGCTGATATCTATTAATTACGCACTTCTTGAAACAAAAATCTAAATGAAAATAAAAGGGAGCAGCAATCCAAACACAATACAGTTTTTTTCCGCGAATTTACTTAACCTTTGATTTTTTATGCGTTTTTTTGTGCCAAGTGCTTGCATTTTGCAAAGAATTAATTGACAGTCGAATATTTGATGTTTATTTGTTTTTAATTGTTTTCGACACGTTTTATGTTGAAATATCCAATTTTTTTAAATCTATTTTAGTAGTTATGCCTTAATTTACAATATTAAAAAAGAAAAAATTTAAAATTTTCCACGAAATTTTACATATTGCAAACAATTACTTGGTTTTGCTCGTAACTATAACACTCGGTAAATTTATGGCCAGGAGCTTCCAAGCTGTGCGAATAATCGTTGCTTATGAGGACTTTAGGACCTCAGGATCAGGTTATACTTTCAGTAATTTAACTTTGGCTGGACAGCGCTGCACGACCTGTGCTTTTTGAGAGTCCTCTTAAGGGTATCCTGAATTTTTCCACTTCCGAATATTCTGTTTCATCTGCAAGGTTACATCAGGTTCAGAGTGGGTTGTATAGCAAAATTCCCTTTATATAGGAATGGTGAGAGGTGAATTCTACTATTCCTATTCACATGGCTGACTCAGATCAATGTCAGTGAGTGAACTACATTGCTCCCATTTTGGGTACAAGGACCAACTGCAAAGTAATGCACCCGGTTGATTTGAAAATAATTTAAGACCAATTATGGAAAAGAGGTTTAACTAAGACATTGTACAATACTATGAACCAGCTAAAAAGCCATTATAAAAATAATCGAAGAGGAATAGGCAACTGCTGATCACTCGAGTCATTGGATGTGCTGTTATCGTGTAACTTTAAGGGTGGACACAAGCTCGAACTCTTTATTTGAGGGTTTTTTGGTTTCCTGAAATCTATCTAATAGACTAAGATCAAGTTTGTCTAGTGGGTGTTCGTAGGTTCAAACTGGAACTCATAAAGCTATTTCACATAGTATTTGCGGTATGGAAAACCCTAATAATGCTTGATAGCGAACTCTGCTTTTAGTGCCTTATAAATATTAGATTTATTAGGTATCAGAAATTATAAAAATATTAATATTAACAGGATAGTGGAGATTGTCTGCCACAGCTTTTGGAATGTCCTGCCTTGCAGCAAAATAAATCATTTCTTACATAAGCATGTATGAATTGTAAAGCGCTTTAACTGCGATTATAGTCTAAGTAGAAAAACAACAGTCTTTCAATACCAAATTCATATTCGGACGATCCTTGTCATGGTATTAGGGTAATTTAACAGTAGTTAACGAAGTAAAAAAGTTGCGGTTGAAAATGTTATGGTGCTGGAAGCACTTTCTCCAACACCTTACGGAAAATATTGGAAACGAAACGGATGATTTTTAAGCTTACATATAAAAAATGCAGGAGGCCAAAATATGTAATATATTTTTAAAGTAAAAAATAAAGGTTCTTTTAAAGTAAATACATTAAATTTTGTATAAAATAAGAGTTCCAAAGTTCTTGGGTGCTCACGCCGACCCACCCTTTCTTTAGCTTTGAAAATTAGTTTCTTTACATGGGGAAACCGAAATTGCAAGCTGTTGAATGCTGGTATGGTTGAGCACAGCTAGGAACTTCTTATTTTTCTACCCTTTCATGATTCACTCAGATTACAGTTTTTTTAAGCTATTTAATTGGTTGTTTATTATTTACAGTAAAATATTTGTTACAATATGATCAACTACAATCTGCAAATACTTTAAATAGTTTGAGTTATATTAATTCTAAAAAACTACTTTGTTGTGCTTCAAATTTAATATTCCAAGCCATTTTAAATAGAGTTCGTGCCAATATACACAAAATAATTTGTAAGCTTAAACAAAAAAATAATTTCAAACATAGATATAATTTTTCTGTTTTCAACTGAAAGTTCTTAAGAGTTAATTGTGCACAACGGCTGAGGAATGTTGAATGCTACGTTCAAATTCTTCTAAACTAAGGGCTTGGTTCATATTTAAAAGAGGCAGTTTTCCAGCTGAAGCTTTTGCAAGGAGCTCCGGGGAAAACCATTGGGCCAATTGATTATTGGTTGGTGATGGCATTTGATCTTCCCTAAGGAAGCCGGGAGATGCGATGCTGTTATTTTTGATCACATATTCAGAATCGGAGTTGTCACAAAAACCTGAAATTCAAATAAGATATTTTGTGATCAAAACCAATTTACATGACGATTTCTTACCTGGCACTGGTGATGACATTTGAAGATTCGATTGACGGTGCATGTCCCCATAAATCACCCTGGGTCTGGGTTGTTGACGGGTCTGATGCTGCTGATGTTGCAGGAAAAGTTGGTGCCATCCAACAGGAGATGGAATGTTTTGATGCACACTTTCAGTATTCAAAATCGATTCAACAGATTGAGTAGATTTATATCTAAGTGGTTGTTGTTGTTGCTGTAGCTGTTGATGATGCTGATGAACGGTTTTCATTTCGATTTTGTGGTTGGAAAAAGGAACTGTCGGATTTTGGTGCGGCATTGAATTAAGGCCTCCTTTCAGTATGGGGCGACCTACAATAAGCGAGTGAAAGTGTAAGCAACATTGTGAATAAAGATACAATCTGGATCTGAAAGCTATATGATATTGTTGTCCGATTTTAATTTTATTAAAACCGTAATTCCATTTAAATATGAATTATTATTAAATACAGCTTTCTGGCGGATCAGCAGCTTTGCAGCCAACCCCCAAATGTTGCTAGGATCAGCAGCTTAAAAAGATTCGGTATCGGAAAAATACCTAGTAGAATGCATGCATTCCGATTTTTCCGTCGTTGTTTCACAATTAATGGATCCACCTATCCCTCATAATATAGTTATACCGCCACAAGGGACTACTAAGTCCGGAAAACCGGCTCAAGTTGGTTTTGCAGAAACAATGTCTACTCCACCAAAATCCACCCTAAGTTCTCAGCTACTCCTAAGCTTAAAACGTAGATCCACAATTACTAACCTCCTGGAGCTTACTAAATTTGTGAAAAGGGCTTCAATAGTCATTTTTAAACAGACGTCATTTACACCGACTTTAGTCAAGCATTTGACTCTGTAAATCACTTACTTCTTGTTCGGAAACTTAACCTGTTAGGTTTTCCAGTTGATCTCCTTAAATGGATCTCAAGTTACCTGAATGGCAGGTCACAAAGGGTCCTTTTTAAAAATTATATTTCTAAAATTCTCTGTGTTACCTCCTGTGCCGTAGACTACTGTTGATTACTTTACTCACCCCCAGCCCTGACTTGGTATGTCGGCTAAACTTTTCTATGCCAAGTAGATTAACTAGAAATTATATTCCCCTAATATTAAATCATTGTAGATCTAACTATGCCTTGCATGAGCTTTCAGAGTATTATATTATGACTATAATAGACCTTTTCCTATAATCTCAAATCTTGACTCTGCCGCTCCTAAAACAATTAATACTGACTTCATTGGCACAAAATTGATATTACTATTACTTTTCCCCCGGACTTTTACCTATATTTTCAACTCCCCAACACCCGCAGATGACATGCATCCCCACACCATGACTCCTCCGCCGCCGTGTTTCACTGTTGGCGCCAAATTTTTTCTATCCAAAGCAGTGTTTGCCTTTCTCCACACCTGCTGACGGCCATCGGATCGAAAAATATTAAATTTGCTTTCATCGGAAAACAAGACCTGATCCCAATATTCAATTGGCTTGCCCAAAAAGTCCTTGGCATAGGCTAAGCGCTTTTTTTTATTGACATCGGAGATCAATGGCTTCCTTCTAGCTGTACGACTGTGGTAGTTGGCTTCGTGCAGGGCTCTTCGCACAGTCATGGGGTGAACTTCCTTCCCAAACTCATTCTTAACCTCTGCGGCAATCTGGGAAGAGGTTATTTTTGGATCCACCTTCACTTTTCGAATCAGTTGGCTGCGTTCCCGGTCAGTCAAAATCCTCGGCCGTCCAGATCTAGGTGCATTTGACAAACTGGAAGCTCCCTTAAAACGTTGCACGATGCTTCGGATGGAAAATCGGCTCATTTCCATTATGTTGGCTATTTCGCCATAGGATTTTCCTTCGTCGTGGAGATGTAGGATTATTTTTCTTTGAGCTACGTTGGATTCCTTGCGCTTATTCTCCATTTTTTACAAAGTTCAAAACAAAATGCATAAAAAAGCCCAATACAGCAAAAATTCTTTGAAACTTTGATCATATGTTATTTAACGGGATCCGGGCTAATATAGAGATAATACCGAAAAATATTTTAACTGTGCCAAGACTTTTGTGTAACGAAAAAAGTTCCTTTTCATTAAAAATTAAAATAGCTTTAATAACGTTTTAGAAAATTAAAAATTAATGATGCCTTTCAAATAAAAAATCTTTTATTTAACTAATTAAAAAAAAGGGAATCATTAAAATGCTACACAAGCCTAAAAATAACATTTAAAGTCAAAAATTGCAAGTGTGCCAACACTTTAGTGCGGGACTGTATATGGCTGCGCCTCTCGGTCGGTTTTATCAAGTTAGATAGTAGTTTTGTTTTTTAAAATTATGATCGACTGTTTCTAACTAAAAACTGATAGCTAAAGCACAGTTCTAGTGACTTTTTTTATGTTTGTCTGTAAAATTGTTGTTTCCGATAAAATGTACTGAAAGTTAAATTTTTATGAAATAATTGTTGTATCGTTAACACTTCTCCTTAAGTAAGTATAGAGTGTTTTATATCAAAAGTTGAGGAATATTATAGCTATAAATCAAAAATTTAAATCATTGGAGCCAAAGCAACCAAAAAAAATTTTCCTTTCTACTCACCAAATGATTTTCCTTGCACCATTTGCATATTGCCAGGAGTCCATTTTAACATTTGTTGATTACGACACTGCGGCAGGTTGGGAGACATGTGTTGGGCATTTTGGACAATGGAAAAGTTTCCACCTCCTAAAATCATTCGAGGCTGTACGGCCATAGTTGCTGTCGGCTGCGGCTCATGTACGTTTGAGTGCGTACTTAGTTGCTTGGCATGGTGTGGGTGCATTTGATATTGTTGCTGCTGGCTATGAGATGCGCTAGGTGTTTGACTTGTATCTTTATCGGCTGTCATTTTCCTTAAAACTGATGTAGGAGTGAAGGCCAAAGGAGTGGGCGAATTACCGTGGGCAATTAGCTGATTTATCGCATGGCTGGCAGAATTTTGAGAAAGCAATTCTTAAAAAAGATAAAAAAAAATGTATTAACTTTTATTACAAAGATCCAGCCTTCTATAACGTAGGTTAATCTTTGTTTTAATACAGAAGTATTTCTATCCCAAAATATATTCGATACTTTTAAAAAAATAGGCTTAATTCGCAAGCCCAGAAAAAGTCCAGTGGTCACCATGTGTCTATCTAGTGAGCATAGGATTTTGGCGGCCCTCTGCTATCAAAATCAGTCTGCTGTTTCTTACACAAAGCCAAATGAAAAATCCGTATTGTAAAAAAAGGCAAAAAGGAGCATTATTTTAAAGTAAAGATGAGAATCTAAAAATTGCACCACCCACGAGGCTACTCTGTTTCATCTTATGAAAGATAACGTTCGGTTTTTGTAAGAAAGATTTGTAAACGTGATATTGAATACCGAATAACTTGTGTAAGCTTTTAGATAAAAGACAAGAAAAAAATCTTAAATAAAATAATTATTTTAAAACAAAAAAATTGTTAAATTAAAAAAAAAGCTGGTCTAAGTAAATCAAGTCTCTTCAAGCGGCTCCCAATTCTAATTCATTATGATGTGCAATTTATATTATTCTTTTTAGCATAAAGGGTTTATTTTTTGGAATAGTTTCTGAACTTCCGACTGGTCGTGCAAATCACTCTCTCAAATGAAAGGCCACAATATGATCACTGGTGTAAATTTAACTCTATCGATCCATTTTAGATCATGTTGGTCTTAAAATACAAACCTTCAGAGAAATGCTGATGGACCGGTTGAGCTTGGAGAAATGAATGAGTGAAAATATGGGGATCGCTTGTGCCCACAGTATTTCTTTTAGTATGGGAATATTCACGAAGTACTGTTGCAATAACCTCCTTTGTAGAAGCTGGAGTGCTAGGGTTACCTAACTCTTTTTCCAGAAAGTCCGGGGAAACGTCTCCACAAATCAGTCCTATTTGATATTAAAAAGTTAGTATATAAAACAAAGAGAACCACAAATTCAAAATTATTTCCTTAAAAATATTTTGCATATATGTATATGGATATTTTAAGAATATGGAAAGATAAATAGTATAGACAAAATGTAAAATACAGACTTTTTCAATGTGGTAATCTAATGAGTTGAACCGATAATCGAATCAAGAAATTTAGTTTCCCTATAATAAACATTTTTTGAAAAAAAAAAAAATATTTTGGCGCACATTTATAAAATAACCGGTAGAAAATGCGAAAAATGCGTAGAAAATTTTGCAATTTCCAGCTAATGACCTTTGGTACTTAAAAGGCACTATTCAGTTATAAGGCATTAAAAATCCAGAAGCATTTATTTAAAAAGCCTTTGAAATTAATGTTTGGTATATAATATAAATTTAAAACAAAAGTACGCAATTAAAATTTTTTTTATTTTTAGTTATTTATTTTCTTCAAAGACCACATTTAATATTGATATATCTCCACGTACTTTAATTTGATTTGATTTTTTATATACCTTTTCTAAAGTATATCACTCAATTTTTATACCCTTGCAGAAAAAAAAAATAATTAATGGCTGCGAAAATATCCCTTTTTTTCTATTTTTATATGACATTTTTTGAAGTATAAAATCTAATTCAGTCACAAACTCACTCTCATAGAGACCAGACGTGCCTTCGCTTCCAAACAACTACCAACAACATTCTCCAAAATTCTAACAGTAACCACAAGTGCACAAGTGCGCAAACCAAAAAAAGTGCAAGACCAACCAACGGGTGAAAACACAGTGACGGCGTGATGGGGGATCCCCCCGATCGAGGTCCAATAACTGCCCACGAAAAAATATGGCACTGTTAAGATCTCCTGGCCCAAAATACCTTATTATTAGAAGGTGTGATCTACATCTAGATCTTAGCAACATCAACCCATTTCTAATAACTTCACATGTGGCGGTGAGGTAGAAGACTGTAATAAACTGAGAAACGGAACACTACTCATAAAAACAAAAACCAACACCCAAGCCAATAGATTACTCGCATTGAAAGCTTTTGCTCCTGACATAAAAGTCGAAGTGTGTATCCACAACGGACTAAACTCAACCAAAGGTGTAATCTACTCGAATGACCTAAGAGGAATAGAAGAAACTATTATACAAAAAGAACTTGCTAGCCAGGACGTATGTGAAGTTAAAAAGATTCTGAAAAGGGAAAATGGCACACTTAAAGAGACTGGTCTAATAATAATTACGTTTAACCGCCATGACCTTCCAGAGAATATTAAAATCTGCTATCAAAGGACCGCAGTTAGGGAATACATTCCACTCCCATTAAGATGTAATAACTGTTTCAAATTCGGCCACCTACACAAGTTCTGCAAAAATAAAAAAATTTGCTATAACTGCGGAGAAGAACACCACACAGACACACAGGAGAAATGCACTAGGCCACAAAGATGTATAAATTGTAATGACGACCAAAAAATCGACCCCCACAACTCAACCAACAGGAGATGCCCAATCTTCAAAACCCAGCAAGAGCTTATTGCTATAAAAACAACCAAAAAATGCGACAACAAAACTGCCCTAACAATACTAAGATCAAGAAATTCGAACAACTCACCCATTTCCTACTCATCCATCGCCAAAACAACACCTCACACACATCACAACACTACACCTTCACAAAATTCAGGACCTCAACAACTCAAAGGACCTAACCTCACACAGCAAGGACAATCTACCCCCAGGAAACAACTAACTTCATACGCAGATCTATCTATAGACAACAAATTAGACTCTTCCAATTCAACTCACCCAACCCCCAAACCAACCACTAACCCAGTTCAAATCCTACCTCTCTCTACATCAAAGCGAATGCTAGCATCTCTCAAAGCCGCAAACAAAAATGCAAACAAAAAAATCAAGTCTAATTCATCAAAAACTGGAGAAGCTTCGAGCGACTCTTGTGACATGGAAACTAACTAATCTATCCACACCCCAATAAACTATAAATATGGTTAAAGGTTACCGAAATAACTATCCCGAACTTCAATTAATTATTAAACAATTTAATCCACATATAATAGCCCTACAAGAAACACACATATCGAGCACTGCATCACTCCCAATTCCCATAAACTTTTTAATTTACTGCAGCCACAGTACAAATGCATTCGGTGGCACAGCCCTCCTAGTGCATAAATCCATTTCCCACTCACAACATCCACTAAATCCAGATCTTGAAGCTGTAGCTCTTACCTTAGACTCCAAAAAAAAAAATCACCCTTATCTCTACCTACATTTCTCCCAATGAGCACTTTAATCTAAAAAACCTAGAAAACGTCCTATCCCCAACAAACCTACCCACACTAGTCCTTGGTGACTTCAACAGCTGGCACCCTTACTGGGGTTCCCTCAGAGGCAACTCCAGAGGAAACACCGTTGCAAAATTTATAGACCGCTCTGACTACATTCTATTAAATGACAAATCGCCGACTCACTACTCAACACACAACACATTTACACATATCGACCTCTCTCTCGCCACCGCCAACATTGCCCCCGAAATAACATGGAAAGTGATCGACGACCTCAATGGCAGCGACCACTTCCCATTACTTATTTCTTTGTTCCAGCATACATCCCCATCCTTTACCGCTAAACCCCCCTTTAACCTCAAAAAAGCAAACTGGAAACTTTATAGTGGCAATATCTTAAATTACAGCTCAGGTACTCAACCTACCAATAATATAAACAAAGAAGCTGCCATAATTAAAAAAGTTATAATTCAAAGTGCCCACCTCTCTATACCCCAAAACTCTATCTTTACCCTCAAACGTACTGTTCCCTGGTGGAACAACGACTTAGCTTGCCTTAAATACACGAAAAACACAAAATGGAAGTTGCTTAAAGCTAACATCAGTTCAGAAAATATAATTGAATTCAAAAAAGCCAACGCAAAATACAAAAGAGCAATTAGAGAAGCCAAAAAAACCGGCCTCAACTACTTCACCTCCGAAATCCAACCCAACTCTGACCCAACTAGAGTGTGGGCAAACGTTAAACGTCTATGCGGACTCTATCCCACTAAACATATCCACACTATCTATAACCCTTTCACCCATACTAACACCACCAATCCATCAGAAATAGCAAACACCTTCGGTAACGTCTGGTCAAAAGAAGCTGAGAACTCAAATTGTTCTACTACATTTAGATCAAATAAGAGCCTTGTCAACTACACCACAAACTACTTACCATGCCACTCAGCGCTAGAAATAGAAAAAGACATAACCCTAATAGAACTTCTATCAGCCCTCAGCTCTCTCAAAGGTGCCACTCCAGGACCGGATCGCATCTCCTACTGCATGATTAAAAACACACCTACCCCTTTTAAACTCAAAATTTTACAACACTTTAATAATATTCTCAACTCTCATATCCCTCAATCATACAAACTCGTCCTAGTCCTCCCTATTTTAAAACCCCTAAAACCCCAAATCGAACCCAAATCATACAGACCTATTGCCCTTAACCCATGTTTAGCAAAAGTTCTGGACAAAGTTATTGCTAAAAGATTGTGGTGGTTTATTTTAACCAACAAATTCCTTTCCTTAAAACGACACATTTCTATAATATCCCTAGATTTCACTAAAGCCTTCGATAAAATAGGAATACATTATCTCATCCACCAACTCCAAAAATGGAAAGTAGGCCCCCGAATACTAAAATACGTGGCCAACTTTATGAACAACAGGAAAATCATAATCAAAAACGGAACCTCACTTTCCAACTCTTTCCCACTTGACAACGGCATCCCACAAGGCTCTCCCATCTCTGTTATCCTATTCCTAATAGCCTACAATTCCCTTTGTAACATCATTTCCATTCCTAGACAATTTAAATTTACGGCCTACGCTGATGATTTCCATTTAATCATAGAACACAAAAGAAAAAAAAACCCCTCTACAAATCTAACAGCTGTCTTCCAAAAAATTAAAGAATGGTGTACTTACTCAGGTTCCTCCCTCTCGATTGAAAAAAGTCAACACCTCCACATATGTCGGAAACACAATTGCAGAGCAAAAATATATACTGGTTCCCTAACCATCACTGAAACTAGCTCTACAAAAATCCTAGGCATTAATAATAAATACAACTGGTCCACCCACATAAGCAGACTAAAAGATAGCCTCCGCAAACCCTTAAACATCATCAAACACCTATCCTCCCCAAAATACAACACCAACACCTAATCCCTTATCCAAATTATCAAATCCATCCTAATCACTAAAATCGACTACTGCCTACCTATCAATGGTAGCGCACCTACACACTTAATTAACCACTTAAAAACCATTCAAAATTCAGCAATTAGAGCAGCACTAGGAGCATTCCGTACTACACCAACCAATAACCTTCTCATTGAATCCAACATTTATACAATAGAACACAGAAGAGAACTTTTAACGGGCAAACTATCAAATAAATTAATTCACTCTTACGACACCCCCCTTAGTCATCTAACCAAGACCACCAAAAAAAATTTAAATACCCAAGCACAATAGACCGAACCATAGAAATCTGCAAAAAACTAAACCTCCCCTACCTACCAATCAAAAGCTACCCCAACAAAAAATACAACATGGAACTAATAATAAAAGCTACAAATACTGATCTGTCCAAGTACAGTAAAGCCAACACCCCTCCAACTACCTATAAACAACTTTTCCAATCCCTAAAAAACACCCTCCTTAACCACCAATTCCTTTACACCGACGGCTCGATGGCAAATGGCATATCAAGCTTCAGCGTAACCGACGAAAACAACACCATCAAATGTGGTCTTCTTCCCCTCTATTCCTCAGTCCTTACAAGCGAACTAATAGCCATCCACGAAGCTATAAAAACAGCTTTACAAAATCCAGGAAAACACGCAATCTGCTCAGACTCCCTATCGTCCCTTAACTCCCTTACTAATTTTAACAACCACTCCTTCTACCCTACAATTATAAGAAACCTAATTACCAATCATTTCCCAAAAATCAAACTAATCTGGATCCCCAGTCACATCGGCATAAAAGGCAATGAGAATGCTGACAAAACAGCAAAAGAAACACAAAAATATCCGCTTATATACACACAAACAACAACACTAACGACATTACACACTACCTCAAAAAGTACTTTAAATTAAAACAATCCGACCTGCATAACTATACCTCTTCCTGGTATAACAATATCGTTAAAAATACTCCTTCCAGCTTTACCTACTCGCACACCAATCATAATAGGAAAACCCAAATAATTATAAACCGAATTCGACTAGGACACACCTCACTTACAAACTCACACTACATGCACAGATCCCTTCCAAACACTTGCCCATACTGCAACAACCCTCATTTAAACATTGACCACATTTTATGCTCCTGCCCTTCCCTCTCCCAACCTAGAGCTACATCCTTCTTTTCTGACAACCCAGCCAACATCATAGCAAACCCTTCCAATGAAAACATAACTAAAATCATTTCATTTCTTCAAAAAGCCAAACTTATTCACAAAATCTAAAATTGTTCTCATTTCTTTAAATTAAATTATTACTGTCATCCCAGACGAGCGGAAGGCCTCAGCTGCTAATGCTCTTATTATAGTTAGTTCATAGTTTTAAAACTTAAGCTAGCTTTTTATAAATAAATAAATAAATAAATAAAATCTAATTAATTTATGTATACCTTATTTTTTTCGCTACTTTTTCAATTTTAGCAATTTCGGCAAAGTCTGCAATGGTATTAAAACTTCGGCTTGCCGAAGTTAGCTTCCGATGTTAGTTATCCGAAATTTGTCTAATAGATTAAATATTGTCTTTGAACTGGATTCATATGCAGTTGCGGTCAAAATAATAGTAGTGCAAGTCAAGCAAAAAGTGTTTTCTCAATATTTTCTCCATTTTTTCACAAATCCAATTCATTTTTTCACATTAGTAACTGTAATTAACTGCTATATAATAATTTTCAGTTATGTTCGGTTCTCGTCCTTATTTTTATTCTTTTCGCCTTTATTTGTAAAGATGCACGTGTTTGACTCAGTCAAAATAATAGGAGTGCCAGAGAAATTAGCAAGAATAATTTAGTGTACTTCATTTTAAAAGAAGTTTGTGGTGGTTTAAAATATTATTTTTTAACAGTCCCGAACATTTTTAAATTTTTCCTTAAAATTTAGTTCTGACTACAAACACTTTACTGCCGAGATGCAAGATCTGATTAAAAATTTGATTTCTGCTGGGAAGAAGTGCAAAATATTATTGCTGCTCTTCTACAATGGTTAGAAAAGCTATAAAATATGAGGCAACGTTTAAAGTGGATGAATATTTTGTGGTCGGATGAGTCGAAAATAGTTTTTTTTGGAGGCCGTGGCGTTAAAATTTTAAACGACGTTATGCTTCCATATGCCGCCGAGGACTACTTGCCACTTGTTTGGACGTTTCAACAGGGCAACGATCCCTAACATACGAGTAAACTCGCCAAAGAGTAATTCGCGGCCAATCTGGTTAGTGTGATAGAGTGATTGAAATTTGACGTGAAACAACAGTCTCGGAAATAAGACCAAACAATAACATTCAACTTTGGGAAGCTGTACAAAGGACTTGGGGCTCCATTCCTGTGAAGAGATGCCCAAATCTAATTGAGTCCATGCATAAACGCTGTGCGTCCGTTAAGGATACAAAGGATATGCAAATAAATACTTAAATAATCCTTAAATATAGGTATATTACATGCAGTTAATCATTCAATCATTAAACGTTTTTTTTGGCTGAACTTTTAAAAGTTTCACTACTATTATTTTGAACGAACAAATTTTCGTAATATTTATTTTTTTCTAAAAAATCTTATGAATTATCATAAGTTGTTATGTATTATTATTTGAATTTTTATATTAGTTGAATTTCAATGAAAATTAAAAGCATTTTGTAAAAACGTTTCAAAAGTTATTTTTTATGGTTCCTAGAAAACCTCTGCGGGCACTCCTGTTGTTTTGACCGCATCTGTAGATCCGCCTTCGTATTTCAGCTAATTAGCTGACTATAGACGTGGAAATTTTCTCAGTGTATACATGTTTGAGTACATGTTTGCATAAAGCGCATTTGGATGCAAATAAAACAGAAAGTAATAAAGCAAACACAATAATTTTTTGTTCACTTATTCTACATTTAATATACTACAAAATAACTGAAAACAATAAACAGTTAGAATAGCATGAAAAAAAAAAACAACTCGCATGTACTCAATTATGCACGTTTGGCACTTCAATTTTTTTATCAACAAAAATATTATTTTAAATGTACAATAACATAAATATGTAGTCCACAAGCCCTTATTTTTTATGTCGTTTTCGGCTCGTTTTGGCTTCCTTTCAAAAATTTTTTTAAAATTTTGATTGGGTATGGAGTTTCATTCATTTGGCACCTTTTTTGCCAAATCTTCCATGTTTGTTGTCTCTTCACAATTGACCATAAATTCTCAATTGATATCCGGACTTTGAGCTGGCCACTTCATTAAATGAAAATTTTGACCAGCCATACCATTTCAGCTTCGTCGTAAGCACATTGCTTAATAAAATTGGGAATATGGGCTTTTAAAATGTCCACATACTGGTGCGTATCCATTATTCCACTTATCCTGTGTATTGGCCCAGTCTTCCACCAGGTGAATAATCTTCAAACCATTATACGACCTCCACCGTGTTTAACAGTTTGCTTGGTGTCGCTGCAAAAATTCTCCGGGTCGTCGCCAGCAATATTGCTTACCATCTGAATCTATTGAATTAGGATTCGTCTAACCAAATTACTTGTTCCCAGTATTCTATGGTCCAATGCCGATGCTGTTTATTTCAGACAAAGCCTGTTTGTTATGGACTACATATTAAGTCAAAGAAATAGTACGAAAGCAATGCACGATTTCAATATTATTTTAACTGTTAATTGTTTTCCGTTATTTTGTAGTATGTATTTAAATGTAGAAAAAATTTAAAAAAATTATTGTTTTTGCTTTCTTACTTTTTGTTTTATTCGCATCCAAAAGCGCTTTTGCAAACATGTACTCACTTTTGCTCCCCATTGTATAAATAGATATTCCTATATATTTGGTCAATTGGCGAAACAAACAAATATATATTATTAAATATAAAAAAAATTGAGATCTTACTTTGAATTAGATGTTGGATTTCCATACGTTTTTGCGTAAATAAATGGTTACTATTCGGTATGTTTGGCACGTGGACATTTAACTCTGGTTGCTGTGGATGGCAGTCATTAATCTTATTCTGTGGATTAGACTCAAGCTGGTCAGGATTTCCTACATTTGAATGATTAATTATTTGATAAACGTCATTGCCAGGATTGGGCATCCTGGTTTGAGAGCCCAGCTGTTGCAATAGCTTTTTGAATGCCTCAGTGTCTCTAGCAACAGGTTTATCCACTTCCACATTCTGAGGGAATGGTCCTGATATCGGATTAACAAAATCAGTCCGCATGTCCACTTTAGTCATTTGTGCTTCCAAATCCTTAACACTCGGAATACCTTAAGTATAAAATTAAGTTTTAGTAAGTAAATAATAATCGTGTTTAATCAAAGAATCAAATTTTAAGAAAACGGTTTTACATATAATGACTTACCAAGTTTTTCCGATTCACTCAGACCCGAATGCTCATTATTATTGGCAGGTTCTTTAAGTCGAAACCATCGGCTAAAACGTGACGTCCCTTTTGCTTCTTCTTTTTCAGCGCCATCATTACTCTATATGAGTGATAAATAATATATACCAAAATATGTAATAATAAACAATAAATTAGGAATTAAATAAAGAAATATCTTAGTATGCAGTATTCTTATTCTCTTATAGGTATCAAAACGGGTGCTAGCCCACATGTATATAAATAAAGGCCATGCCTTTATTGACTCGGCCATTTATCAATAATATACATAAGTGTACACTTAATATTATTGAAAAATTTATTTTGCTTGTTACATACATATTTAATTTACGAAAACCATTTTAACCCCGTATGAGTAATGTATAAAATATCAGACTTGTCGAAGGTCAGTAAAATAATACATCATATTTACCATAATTGAATGATCCAAAGGATGCATGTTAAGAAAAGCATCAAAATTAAATTCACTTTCAGAACTTTGACTGCACGGTAACTGTCTTGGTAAGTTTTTATGCTGTTTGCTTAGTTCCGATGAGTTTTGTATAAAAGTCAAAATGTTTTCGCCAGTATCTTTTATATCTTCACTTTGATTTGCGTCGTTTAAATTTAAACTGACATTGCTGCTTCTCCTCGAAGCTCCAATGATGGTTGGTTGCCCAGCCAAATTTTTATTATTTTGTGAAAATTGATCACTATTATCTTCCATATCGGAACGCTCCTCAGTGTTTTCCACGTCATCAAAGCCGTGTAGGTCAATTGTTTCAAGCTGTGATGTTGGTCCTGCACTAAACCATTCCGGTTCTTCGTGTATGTGATAAGAGTTTGCGCGTTTGCCACGATTTTGATTGCTACAGGACTCCTTATTAGATATGCGTCGATTACTTACGACCTGTCGATCAACTGACCTTTTGGTATCATATTGAAAACGACGATCAGTATGTTCGGGAACACGATCAACCAATCTTCCGCTGAATGTGCGATAGCGATGTTGGGTTTGATTATGCTGACTAACACCACTTCCACCAACACTGCCATTTAGAGACGTATCCTTCTCAGTCTCAATGCTGGCCTCCTTTGTTTTCTGGTCTTTAAATTCCCAATTATCACTTCTGGGTAACAGGCGACCACTCCCGATACGCCTTTCTTGGCGGGAAGCGAATGTTGGCGAAGATGACAAGCACTGGTCATGATCCGGCTGGACATAATTTAAACGTGTTTCAGAACCGTCTAGCTCGATGCCTTTTCGACTAGGGGATATAGGTGCCTTACCCTTGCCATCTCTTCTCTGGGATGCACTTGCAGCATCATCACATGTGCTAGCTGTTGTGTCGTTGTTGTCAGCGCTAGTGCCACCGCTCACTGTGGCAAAGCGTCTCTTCGCAAAAGCCGGCATTAGGTGCGACGATGAAATGCTGCGATGGTCGATGATGGGAGACTTAAATGACTGTCCTCCCGCGCCTTGCGTCACCTGTGCGTCCTTATCTTTATCTTCTCCACATAACTGGAGGGAATCGGTAGGTACAAAACGCTGGTAATAATTATTCGCTCGCTCTCGATTTCGCAAGGCGCGACGCGAGCTTATTGAGCCGCTATTGGAACAGCTCAGACTCGCGTTATCTGCCTCTGGAGATAGACGGTTTTTATTTTGATTCGAATAGCTGCTAGCCACATTTAAAGAGACAGCGTTGAAATTCACTTTCCAAAAACTCAACGTCTGTAGCTCAGTTTTATTTGTACATTGAGGGCGCTGTCTACTTTTGCCTTCATATCGTAGAGCTAACAGGTCTGCTCTCGAGTACCTAAAGTATAAGAATATAAGTTAGCTTGTTTTTATAAAACCTTTATTTCACATATGCAACTCGGAAATTGTTAGGAAGTTACTACTTCAAACAAAAACTCAGATGCTTTAAATGTATGTTCATATATGTAGGTATATATAAGTATATGTAAAAAAACAAAATATAATTTAACTTAAATACATACCTTGTATTAAGTTTCGATGTATCCATTACTGAAGAAATCTGCTAACTTGATCGTTTAGACCAACCTAACTTTTAAGATTATACTCGACAGTAATCAACCAACCAAATGATAAATTGGTAAAACAATTACAAAAAAAATAGCTTCTTCTGGTTCATGTGGGCTTTTGGGATGAATATACAATTTTTATGCACCACTTACGCAAACACACACACATACGAACATGTATATACATACGTATATATATATATTTTTTAAATACAAATATTTTTATTTTTCTGGAAATCTTATTGCAAAATATTTTGTCGCAAAATCTTGTTAATTATATGTTTTCTGAAAATCACGTCAATTTAGGTGTGGGATATTAATGACAGTAAAAATAATCGTTTCCCATCGAAACCTCTAAGGGTAGTGGATTTAACATCGGTCTTGAAACTATAAAAGTGGAACTACTATCATACACTGTGACTGTGTTATTGAGCTTGGGAATATTTAAGCATTGTTCACATATGTTTTATGTTATGGCTATTAAAATAATATGCTATTAGTTGAGTATTTTAGAATGTCAGTCTTTTCATCATACATTACTTTTCACACTGCCTTAAGATTCCTATCGATTGCTTATCTCGATTATCCTGTCCACATTGGGATAACTCCATTACTCGAGTTCTATATTGTGATTTTAAACGGAGGTAAAGTGTTCTAGCCTATCAGACATATTTTGCCCGCTATTTTTAATTTTGCTTAAAACAGTTAAACTTAACTCCACTTCTGCCCATAACAAGCTTTCTATCCTAACGCTTTGTAAAATAAAACGGAGTTTTCCCCTTAACTCAATAACACCATAAGTCGCATTGTGGGCCAAGCCTATGTTGTTTTGACATTAATTCGACATTCAGCCCATCGCTTCACTATCGATTGCAACTATCGTCAATAATAGCCAGTCGTCTACCATCTACCGGCAATGACAGTGGAATAAGCTTTCCGACTCAAATTTTCTTAAGATATTCCACCAACAATTTCTGCAGTTCCTATCTCAAACTGTTTCTCCGATTACATACATACATATATATCATATATCACTAATAAATGGCAAGTTATAATTAAAGTGCCGGGCACTGGAACAGGTGAATTGGTTTTAAATTTATAGAAATTATTAATAAAATATCTCCCCACACATTTCAGTCCCAAAGCGGACCATGGAAACGGGTGGGTTGCTTCTTGAGTCTTCCCATACAGTCAATCCGTTTGAAACGGTTGGGATTTTTGACAAATGTGAAACTCCGATTCCCACAGAGCACATCCACCATCCACCATCCGATAACAGCTGATCTGAACAGCTGTGGCCCATAATTTTAGCCCGTTGCATTTTGCACAACATTTAAAATGGGCACAACAGCGTTATAAATGATACTTGGGAACAGACTGTAAATGATCTATGGGAACAACCAAATTAAACTACTATGTCTGCAGGTTTTTTCCAGCCTGCAAAAAGATATTAACCGCTTTTGCCCAATATTGTCTAACTGGTAACAAATCAAGTTCATTATATATAAATGTTCGTTTTTTGTTTTATTATAATTTCATATTTTATTTCATTTTAAATGTTTCGCTCCATGTTGTGAGTACGGTATGCGCCTAGGAAAAAGTGGAGCAACACCTAATACTGTCAATCGGATGGAGCAGTAATTAATTTAATATTACAAGTATAAACAGCATTTTTCGAATTGGCGCCTTCCCTTTTCAAAAGTTACCCGCCATTATTTTTTTAAATTTTCGTAGTGAATGTTTATATTTTCAATGTTAGAAGAAGAACTCAGAGTTGCACCGAAAAAACATCGCCTACTATCGAATAAAAAAGTCCGATCTCTGTGGGAAGACGGCATAATTTAAGCCTTGTACTCAGATCGTCGAAAACTGTCCGCCAGTCATGAGAGAGAGCGAGAGGCAACCAGCTGGCGTTTACTTTTCGTCAGGCTTTTTTTTTCACCTCGGTACTCAGATCAAAGAAAAAAACTCCAGAAAATTGCATAGCGAAAAGATTAAAAAATTTAATCTTTTGGCGTGCGCTTCTCACTGAACAATTTAAAAAATGGAGGGAAAAAATCAAAAACCCCGCAATAGTCGATTGCAGGAGTTTATATGTGTGGTAAAATAACATTAATACTATCTGGTGTGCCTCTTGTCAGAGCAAAATGTTTATTAGGTCAAAAATGTACGAAAAACACAATAAAAGTTCAGCTTTGAACTTTAAATTAGCAAATAATTATCAGTAAATTAAAAAAATAACAACTGTTAAGTTTAAATTGTAGTGTTTTTCAATTTCTTTGTACAGCGGCAGACTTGTCTTGCCAAGGTAGTTGATAATATCTTTTAAAGGCTCTTTCCCCGCAAATACGATATTTAAACTGCTTGTCAACAAACCCAGCTGACTGACAGTACGACCGTAGCACGCTTAATTGCGATGAACTCTCGAAATTTTGGTCACACTGGAAAGATTAAAGTTTTTACGCTAGCGTACTCGTTTGTCGAGTACTAGGCTTAAGGACTTGAGAAACATGTCATCCTCTTGTCCAGAGATCGGCGGGGGCCTGCGCTGCAGTCTTCGTCTACACGTCGGGTTGGCCAGGGAAGCTGCTTGGTGTGGACAGCGAGGCGATCGTTGTACAGACTCGAGTGGCTGTTTATCTGTTCCCTGACAGAAAGAATGTGGAGGTTATTTCCTAGGACGTCGTTCCTGATGTACCAGGCAACTCTCTTTGAACTTTCATCACATTAGAGTCTGAAACCATGCCCCATAATTGATTGCAATAGGTCATTGAGGGCACCACAATTGATTTATAAAGCAACACTTTGTTGCCATGGCTGAGCTTGCTCGTAGGCTTAAGCATCCAATTCAGTTTCCTGAGCGTAGTGCGACATGTGGCTGCAATTTTCTGGATGTGCCCTTTCCAGGTGAGCTGCTTGTCCAGGATCAAACCCAAGTACTGCGCCTGGGGTGATTGCGTGATGGTGATGTGGTGGAGCTCAACTCTAGGAAGCACCTTTCCTCTTAGAGTAAAATTGCAATGTTGCAACTTGAAAATGTCTTCCAACCAAATCCTGCCACTAGTACGTTCATTTTGCCGACTTTACCATATGAGCCTTAGCTTCAACATGAGCCAATTGAGTTTCGCCCAAACGAAATCGTTAACATCATCAAAAATCAGCTGAATCTGAAAAAATCCCCAGGACGCGACCTCATAACTCCCAAAATGAGCATTGAGCTCCCATATTGCGCCGTTTGCACTATCACCCAGCTTTTTATGCCGTCGCAAAACTTGGCCACTTTCCAGTGAGATGGATAAAGTCGATTATACTAATGATAGCAAAGCCGGGAAAAGACCACAAAATCCCCACGGCGTATAGACCTACTCTTTGAAAATGCGTATTGACTCGGATAAACACATAACTAAGAATCCAGGAAGGAATTTCGTCACATCAATTTGGATCTCGTGAAAAGCACAGAACAATTAAGCAGGTCAACCATATAACATCAGAAACTCGAAACGCGTTGGAAAAACGAGAGTACTGTACTGACATATATTTAGATGTCTCTCAAGCATTTGATAAAGTTTGGCTAGTAGGTCTAATGTACAAGATCAAGACAATGCTCCCCCACAACACCCACAAGCTTTTAGAGCTTACCTATACGACAGAAAATTTGCTGTGAGATGCAACACTGCTATCTCTGACGATTTTACTATTGGAGCTGGAGTTCCTTAAGGTACCGTGCTTGGGCCAACATTATATATCCTCTACACAGACATCTCGACAAGCACACGACCAGGGACTGAAACCGATTGGAATACCGGTTCCGATTCCGGTTTCGGTTCCTATAAAAATCTGTTAGTGGTTCCGGTTCCAATTTCGGTTCCTAAGAAAAATAGCAAAACGATTCCGGTTTCGGTTCCGGTTCCTAAAAAATATTACAAATCGGTTCCGGTCCCAGTATCGGTTCCATTTTTTTAATGTATAATCGTGTAGAAAAGTAATTGCGACAAAATATGTATATATCATATCGTCTTTGAATTTCAAAGTGAACGGTCGTGTTTTTTTTCTGCGCCTCGAATTTTGTATTTTGTTTTCGTTTATTCCCATCGGTGGGTTTTATAAAAACAACATTAAATTTTCTTTCGGCTATTTAAACATAAATTTAAACTCCGTTCGCTTCGCGAGTGCACTTTGTATTGATACTAATAAATTGTTTTAGTTTTTCGTAATTCTTATCTGTGTTTTCTATCCTATTTATATCCACGCTGTTTCTCTTTTGTGCATGCACTTTAACTTATTTACGCTCCCGCTCTCTTGCTCTCTTTGCTTTTGAAAGTTCTAAGCGTGCAGTTTCTGCGCTCTTGCGGTACTTATAACTGCTCGCTTATAAATTTCAATTTCGCTTTCTTGGTACAGTGGTAAATAAATAAAATGAATAATTAAAATTTAGTCTGCTTCTGCAAAAAATGCAGCCTCGTAATCAGGGCTGACCAGTCTAATATGACTTGCTGGCTGTGTGAAAATATGGTGCACACCAAGTGCGCCGGTTTTACTGGCCGGACAAGTGATGACCTTTCAAAGGGTCCCAATTTGCAGTTTTGTTGTGACGCTTGTGTCGAGGTTGCGAACGAGATGAAATCGTTCATGCGCCAAACTAAAGGCGGCCTGATGGGACTGATTAGCTGTTTCGGAGTGGCTAGAGATAGTTTTCGCCGAGCTGATGATCTCCTATCTGCGCTGGACTCGCAGTTTAATAGTCGTAAGCTATTAGAAGAGTCCCCTAAGCGCAAAAAGGCCGCTGGTGGTAAGGAGCAAAAGGGGAACACCCCGCAACCGAAATCAAAATCCGTTACAGAATGCATGCAACCAGGGACTTCTAAGAATTCCGATTTGTCCGTAGTGGTTTCACAATTAGTGGATCCACCTATCTCTCAGAATGTAGTATCACCACCACAAGGGACTACTGAGTCCGGACAACCGGCTCAAGTTGGTTTTGCAGAAACAATGTCTGCTCCACCAAAATCCCTTTTAGTGGTTCCACTAAAGAAACAAATTTTCGTTTTTCGGCTTTCCCCTGATCAAACATCTTCTGATGTATTGTCTTATATACAAGACAAAACTAAAGCCGATTGTAATAGTGTAAAGGTGGAAAAGTTTAAGTTTTCTTATGCTAGAGACATTTCATCTTTCAAGATAACTGTCCCTAACGAGCTTTTTGAAGCCATATGCTCGGGCGACTTTTGGCCGGATAATATGGTTGTAAAAGAGTTCGAGGCTAAGATAAAGAAGAAGGGGCCCGTAGGAGTAAAACTTCCTAGTCGAGGCCAAACCAGTGTACCAATTTCAA